TATCCGACCAGTGCGATTAATGAATGTCAAGATCAAAGAATCTTGTCAGCGGTTGCACAAGAAACACATCGCACATTAGAAAATTATGGAGCGATCGTCAACTCGAAAAACAGCATCTACACATTGACTTCAATACAGATCTTATGGCATCAACGTGTTCATGGCAGGCGCAAAGTACATATTGTTGTAATATAATGCTGCAGAAAATTGAGTTAAACGCCGTTGTGGCAGTTTTGGTAAAATATCAAAATTTTCGACGAATTTTATGCAGGCACAAAATAAGTTAAAGGCGTTTGAGTGTGAGTAGTGGTGAAAAAGCATTCGGGCATTATCAAATAGACAATCAAATGTGATGCGGCTGGAAGCAAAGGCAAAGGAGCCAATGACCAAACAAAGGCACTCTTGTGCTAATGGAGGAGTTTGTAGGTTTTGCTTTGTAGCACACCGCTGATGTAGCAGATGTGGGGTTTGTTCTGCGACATACGTGTTGACTAACGTGGTTATAAGGTGGACGATATTGATCGCCGTAAAGTTGGTGGAGATGACATGACTGGACTTAAAGGCAGAGATACAAGAAAGAGACTGCATGCCTGAGAACTGACATATTTGGTGGTATTTGGTGATCTTATAAGCAATGCTATGACTAGTTGTGTTAGTGAAAACACTTGGAGTGATTGCGGCGACTGCACTTTTGATGGTGTCCAAATCTCGGCGGTGTAGCTGTCACCTTGGTTTTATTCGAGGTATTTGTAACGGTAGCATCGTCGCTGGTCACGCTAGACATTTGACAACTTTCAGAGTTTAAGTATAGCAAATTTTGTGCAATGTCCACTTGCGACAACATCACCCGCACTTCCACGGCTCATTAAATGAAGGTTAGTAAAACGTCGAGAAGTCTGTCAAACTGTGGCGCAACTTGGTAGGGAGGAGACAGCTTGCACAGGGTAAAACCCTCTCATCTTTGAGAAACCGATCATTTCAATCCCATGATAGTGATAACCTGCTCAAACTCAACGAAAACGAGTGGAGACTCGTGTGATACTCCGTCATTTAAAGAACTTCCGAACGCATTGATAAACGGGGTCAGAATTTTGAGTATCCACCCATATCATTTAATGAACCAGATCATAACTTGAGTACTAATCACTTCTGTCATTTGGACAAGGCATTTTTCCTTACTAGGTTTCCTTCAACATTCTGAGGGCCCCTGCATGTAGTCTTAAACCACGCCGGGGTCACTGGGGTTGAATCTACTCCGATTACCCGTGAATATGCAAGGGGGTCGAGTCACAGCCGTTTACTATACGGCTCAATGAAGTGTGTGTGTGTGTGTTTGACACAGTCGTACATATTTAATACATCTCAGGTGAACTAGTTAACGTGAAGGTGTTTGAATGGTCAGATGGGTGAAGCGGGTAGTGGTGGTATGCGCAGAGGAGTGGACGAGCAGGTGGCCCGCGTGACTAATGGGCATCCTGCCGAAAGCGGGGGACGTGTGTCTATTACTGCTACGACGGCTTTAATGGACTTGAATCAACCCGGTTCACCACAAACTTATTCTGTGCATATCGGTGCGGTTTGCAGCATCAGTTACGATCATGGTGTTTACACTGCTAATGGCAGAGATTATTGTGATGTGGATGGTATTTGTGTTGGTGGCTGATATTGTTGATGTGGGTCTTGCAGGCAGCACTGGCATTCGTGGTGGTGTGGAGGAAGGAGCGGAGGCAACTGGTTATGTTGTTGCTTTTCATGAAGTGGAACACTAGTTGAATAAATATATTGATATTTGTGACTGATTTCGTGATGTTGTCGGTGTTAACGTCACAGAGGATCGCCTTGTAGTGTCAACGGAAGACCTAGGGCTACATTTTTCGTCTGTTTACTTAGTCGTTGTGTTTGGGGTGTGCGAGCGTGTAGGCGTTTGCGGAATACCGTCAGTTTGATAAACGCACGGGTGAATACCAACTTCTTCGCTTGATTTATGCATATCGGCTTGACCAGTAAAAAGGGTCAATCCCATGGTCGAATAAAACGGGTTACCCAAAAAAATTTCTACTTAATTAAATCCCTTTTCTTACAAATCTGGCAACTTAAGCGGCAGACATTAATTGCTTATTACTAAACTGATTTATTTTCTGTGGGTTTAAAACCGTTAAGATGGATTCCTATCTGCCAAAAGGTTTAAAAACCAGAATGATTTCTTCCAAGTAGTCCGTTGCGATGTCGCCAACTTCTCCTGCCTCTCTGAGGCCCATCCACAACTTCAACGTTGTCACGTCACTGCTCCATTGATCTCCTTTGAGCTATTTAAATGGAGTCTAGTTATCCGCTTAAACCAGCGAGCAGCATGCTTAATTGCCTCCAAACGAGATCCGAGAACATTTGTTGCCTAGAGGTCTTCCCAAAATTGAATAACCTTAATCTGAATAATCTGAAATATTATTGCTCCCACAAACTGCGAGACGTCTCCTTCAACCAAGTTTATAATGGAAACAGAATGTTGATTGGGAAACGAGAGTTGAATGATAAGGACCAAAAAATAGCCTCGATTTGAAGAGAGATTCAGAGAAGAGCCTACAGTGGGGCATGATTTGTCATATAAAACCGGGTTAAATTTCACCCCAATCAATGAAATTTGTTAGGGATTCAGTATCACCAAGACCATATTTATCCGGATTCGTACGACTTTCTATGCGCACCAGTCAGTGTAATGATTCGGTCGTTCCCTTCCAATCGGATCGATCTATTGAGGGCCCCGGCATGTTGTCTTGAACCATGCCGGGGCCAATGCGATTATCTAGGCCGAATACGTTACCCTGCGTTCCCGCGAAAATATAGAAGACCGGAGTGGGGAAGGCACAACCGTTTACTAGACCGCTCAACCAAGTTGTGTCGTGTACAATTACGATTCAGTGGACATGTACAAAAACACCCTGGCTCTGTGAGGTCACATGAATAAAACTGGTGGTAGGACATGCACAGGTGTTAATGGACCAATGGCCTCACGTGACTGACGGGCAGGTTGTGAACAGAGGGGACATGTGTGAGGCTGCGACGACTGGGTGTTTAACGTGAATCAACACGATTCACTACAGATCCTTCTCTTGCACTCAAGGTCGCCTCCCATCCATAAGTGGGCGCATCTGGAAGCTTCTGGCTGAGGTAGTAAAAGCTTCTTGCATAAGGTTCCGCCTTGTCTTGCCCTATTTAGATGATCAACGATGACTCACACGTGTTTCGGTTTGTGCCAGTTCGAGGAAAGCTTCTGCTGCGCTAACATGAGGTTTACAATAAAATCACAACTATTGCCAACTTCCAGCATCGAACTATCACAATTGGCTTCCGAGTGGTCTATCCCCTTTCTGTGCAAAATTCGCAAAAAACTCCAGTCAGTCCAGCCTTTTTTAAGTTACAACATTCTCCGTCACCTGATGGCTTCGTAGTATTTAGCTTTTTTAAGCGCCCATTTTTCCGCTGTGCTGAGCTCATCTCACCTCCTGCTCACAGGACTCTACCAAGGCGGATTTTGTCGTTGTATTAATAAATTCCACTGTTTACAAAACAGTGATGGCACGCCACTTATTCTGCAGAATGTAAACAATATGTATTTATCAATTGTTAAACTAAATGCTCTTATTTTCACATTTGCTTTTTTCATCCTTTTTGCTCCTAGTATCCGCCGTTCGCCTTGTTTCTTTTCGTCCTTCATTTTCATTTGTTCTCAAAATAAATATTCGAATATTTTCGAGAATTACTCCATTTCAATCTACATATTGCATCGTCCTTAGTGTGTTGTTGCGGCTTCTGCTCGGTCAGTCATTCACCTACTTGGAATAACTTCCGAATTTGCAATGTCTCTAAGTTCCATTTTTAATGAGTTTTCAGAAAGTTTACCTACCTCGTTCTTAGCTGCGCTGATTGTGCTAGGTAGCTAGTAATTTATGCCCGATTTAATAATTTCCAGCTAAAGAAACGAATCGTCTTCCTTTAAAGTATGACATTAGAAAACGTGTTTATGAGTGCACATTAGTTAAACTGATTGCGACAGCTATCACATTGTTTGCATTTTACCCAAAGTATATTCCCTGTAATTTTCCACTAACTTGGAGGTTTTAAACTAAATAAAGTAAACTGAATCTCCAGAAGAAACGTTTAGTTAAAAATATTAATCCAATTACTCCCGCATCACCTTGAGTTAAGAAACTTTTGTCTGCTTTCTTAGCATTGTTTACCGTAAATCACAGATTTGATTTATTGTTGGGTTCATTATGCTCTGTTGTTGTCCAAATCAAGTATTAAGGCCTGTAACACATTTACCTCTTTTGGTTCGACGTCACAGATCCTGGCACGCAACCATTAGTGCTTTTTCATGGACAAGGAGGCAGATTAATTGTGGCTGGTACCGCGAACTTCATTACAGGCCGCTGCCACATAAAACACCACAGTCTAATAGGTTTCACTGCCAAGTCGTGGTCGGTTACATCTAATATTTAGTAATTGTCGTTTAATAATTCACGACTCTTCCTGTTACCTATTCTGTGTAAAAAAATCAATATATGGCACCTTCTGAAGAACGCAAACTGTGCAGATTGCAAGGGTATTTTTAAGATCTTACTAATATGTGAAATGTTTCAACGCGATTAAAAAGTATTCTTAGGTTATTACGGTGAATGTAAGTTTCTTTAATATTTCATCACAAAATACGCTTTTTTGTCTTTATTACAGCACAGAGAAATAAGCAAAGGTAGGTGGTTTTGTCAAAAATCAGTGCTTCTCCAACGCAAAAATTTCACAAAATTTGTTACCGATCAGAAATTGTCATGTAGATACTGTTGCAAATATATTGCATCTGAACTAGTGTTTGGCGACACTTCAACGTGTACACTGAAAAGACTACTGCAGTGTCGTGGGAGGTGATAGTGGGCGCTGCGTCTGGATGTATAAATAAATGTACATAACCGAAATTGGCCTACGACTTTCAGTGGACTGCGTTGCCGTCAGTGTGCGGAGGCCTTCAGTTTGAGCAGGGATTTCAGCATCCAGTTGTAGAAGGACATTCGAATGGTTGGGATTACTAGGTTCTGCAGGTAGACGAAACAAGTAAAAAAAACGACAAGTTAGTATTACAAAGTGGTTAGTAGTCAAAACTAGCCATGACTCGAATGATGCATTCTGTAGCAGTCTGGGTGTAGGGGCTAGGGTCTTCGGCGTGGTGAAGACCACTGACAGCCGCAATCTGGAGCATCTGTCGCAAGTGTTCCTTTTTGTCCATTGTTCAAATTTTTCAGAATTTATATTTACTTGCTAGTGTTAATGAAATTCTGGATGGATTAAATTCGTGATTATTTCTGCTGCACCTATTACGAGCAAAGTGCGGCCTAGTCATTTTTTTCCTAAATCCGTATTTCATTTTCAATATTTTAAACATAGCCAGTGTCTTTATTGACAAATAGATCGGTTTCTTGTATTTGTAAAACAGACTCCTTGGTGTACGATACATCATCAAACCTTTTAAAACGTAGTTCTTCTTTCAATTTTATTTCACAATTGAACAAATGAATTAATAGCAACTTGAAGGCTAAAATTCAATTACCTTAAATGCTCCTAATTTTTATTTTGGATGTATTTCATGGAATAATTTTAAAGGAGCTTCAGGTGATTTGACAATTTAGGATTGTGGGAATGAGTGCCAATGAAAAATTTAGCGTGTCAGTTTGCATAACCAACGGCAGGTTTGTTGTTTCAGTGGCGATGTCCTGTCAACCAAAGCAATATTAAATTGCTGCTTTTTTCCAATGCTAGAAAAAATTCGCATTAATTAATTGTGCATTTTAATAAGGTATCTTTTTATTGCCTACAATGGTTTTCATTTTCAGGTAAAGTAAGTTACAAATCAGGAGGTGTGGGGTTTAATACAATATCAAATCTTTATAAAAAGTGAATAGGACAGTAAATGCCAAATTTTGGTTTGCGAAATTTTAAAAAAATTAAAGTTATTAAGTAAGATGAATTGCAAGTAGAGCTCATCAAATCATCTCAAAGAGCGCCACTTTGAGTTAGAAAAACCCACGTATTTTGAATGTAATCAGCTCTTTATGTGAGTGCACGAACCGATGATGACAGCCGCCTTCATCGAATTACTTTCAACTACTAAATGTAACCACAGTGAGACAAGAGCACAAACCACAGCCCATGTAATGTTGAATCATAGCACTTCTAACTAGCCAATACTGAAAATGTAGATTGTTTTGGATATTCTCTCTTATACATTCGCAGGACAAATATCAACACCAAATTATGTGCTATTGAAATGGTGGCAAGTTCAATTGTAGAAGATTCACAAACACGAAAGTTTGTAGGTATTCATAGTGTCTAGATGACCAAGGTCATCGATGGAGTAGACTTTTGCCAGTGCGGGACTATCAAATCCTTTTTTCCAACCAAAACTCAAACGCGCAATGTTTCAGAGGCTGACGTTTCCTACTGGCTAAGCCAGATTCGTTTCTGAGTCTCACACACAGACCCTAGACCATTGGCCTACCCTCCTCCGACTGTTGGACACATATTACATCTGTGGGCGTACCGGCCTACATTGCTAAACAAACAGCATACAAACGGCGGTGTTTGCCAGCACCGTTATCGTTCCTTGTGTCTGCGAACGGTAACTGAAAACAGGGTCGTAAAAGTTGCGCAAACCCAGCATTCCTTTGGTAATATAAAAACTGCCACTACACCTCGACATTTTTAATATCAAAATAGAGCTGTGAGTTGGCTGGTAATGTGTTTTGATGACTTTCAACTTAATTTGAAGCAGGTGACGACTGCGCATGCTGCACATTTAAATCTGCATTAAAATATGTGCGTAGTTTGACAGGTTCGCCAGAGACCTGAAGACTGCGAAACCCCTTCTACTGAAGTTATTCCAAAGAAAGGAAACTGATTAGCTTTTAAGAAATAATTTTTTTGCATAACTCTGCACAGAGAAAATGGCAGCTGTATTGAACTTATCTTTTAGATATTTCTCTTCTCGCAGTATTTCATTAGCATTGTTATAAAGGATTTGAGGCAGCAGCGAATTAAAACCATCGCAAATTCCTGTGGCTTGCAATCTGTGATCGCAGTGAGTTTAGGATGTTTGTATACCTGCGTTTCCTGTTAAACCAAGTTTAAATTCTCCCACACCAGGTAGTTGACAGAATTTCGGTGATTATTAAGAGTAGCCATTGCATCAAGACTCTTTACTTTGATGCTTTCTTTTGCCACATTGTCTTCTCTTCCTTTCTTACGCAAGCGAAATGATGTCCATAATTAGAAATAATGAACCTATCACCTCTGATTAGGCGCCAGTAGTGCAGCATACCACAGCAAGCTATTTTTAAGCTAAAGGAACAATCTTGCATATTTCATCGACCAAATCACGAGAAATGCAGATTTGGCAGTGTCAAAACGCCTGACGCCCTTTTAGCCATTAAACGAGCTTGCAAATTACGTTTTAATAAATTCTACCGGTTCATGTGAGCTAATTTCTGGATAGAAAGCAATTCTCTACTGGCTTCTAGATAGCTACTAGGGTTAACTCATTTTGGTTTAGCAAAATCTAAATATGCTTTTCACATCAAAATAGCTTTGCTTGTCAAAAATTTGAATATTTTGCAAGTGAACGGGTTTAAACGAAAAGAGTCCAAATATTTTCCTACACACGGTCTTCTATGAATATAATTTCCTCAATCGGCTACTGCTTCTTTCTTTCTATGTGAATTACTGAATTTCTAACTATTGTTTGTCAAAACTGGGAATATTCTCTGTCAAGTTTAGTTTCTATAGATTTTGAAATTTAGAAAGTATTTAGCTCAGGTAAACAATTTTTGCCAATAATGCAACATTAGAGACCCTAAAACAAATAATTGAACGTGCATTTGGAAAGGGTCTACCCACCGATTACGAACGAATTCCGAACCTATCATTAGTAGGTAGATTTATGCGTAAGCAAGGATTTCTGTGCACCGTAGATTGTGGACCAGCCCAAAACATCCTGGCAGTTGGGGTAGCTGCAACAAAATGTTTTTTTCGCAGAAGTTGTGGATGTGTAAGGCACATATTGAAGGATATTTCAAACCCTTAGAAAAACTTTGGAACCACCCACAATGACTTGAAATGCATCAAGGAACTTATCACATTAAATCCTTGCCATACTAGAATAGAGTTTGTTTTACAAAAAAATTTAGCTAGAAATATAAACCAATTTAATCATAACACCAAACTTACATTGGAGAAGAAATTGTCTTTCCTAGAATTCATTGATACTGTAATTTTGCAGGATCCTTTTGGAAGGGACTTGACGGTAAAATTGATGGAGGTCTGCATTAGGTCCTTCAGCCCAAACGAGAAGCGCATCCCTTCCACAATTTCAAGCACTTCTGCTCCGATCTTGTTATTTTCTTCAAACAAGAAACACCAAAATTTATAGCCACAGTTCACCATAGCTCCTATTTGCCTTATTGTAGGCACTACCAGTATTCTTCCTTTTGGAAAAAAAAAGCTTAGCGGTTTGAATTTACTGAAATAGAACGAAATTCAATTTTTGGATGCAAGATTAAATCCAAATGCTCAAGTTGCCATGGCTAGGGTATACCATACAACATCGACAAGAGAAAAGTGGTTTTTTGTTAAAACTAAAATAAATGTTGAACTTTCTTGTTTCAATGAAGTGAAGTTTGCAGCCAAATCACAAAATTATAAATACAATTGCAATCTTCAGCTAAGGCCATATATTTCACAAAAAAATACGATTCGTGTTTCATCACAAGTAAATTAGTTTTTTCCTGAATAAAATGATTGCCAAATTTGTCCAGGAGTTGAAGATCCGCCTTGTCAAACGAAAAACAGTTGAGTTTGGTGGTTACAAGGCACAACAAGGCAAGTTGAATTCGCCCTATGACGGCAGGCACGGACTTCAATTAATCATCCTACGACATTTCGCCTTACGCTATAAATAGCGCAACCAACTTTTAAAACAGTTTGAAGTTGTAGCACTGCGTGTTACATTGCATCATGATCAACAAAAGTAGCTCACATTTAGAGCATATTGACACAGCGTTATCAAATGCTGTTTCATTGCCTTGATTTAGATGCTTTAATTTCAATTAAATAAAAAATTCGATGTCTTAATCCGGCCGCTGCTTCAAATCAAAGGACGATTTGGGGATGAGGGTCCTTCTTTAGGACTAAAACGAAGATTTTGGAATCTAAATTAAGGTTAAGCATACCAATACAGCTAGTTGTGTAAGTTTCAGTGACCAATGATTGCAAAACGGATATCATTGATTGAATAATTGCACTGCTGAAACCGGTTACTAAAATAGACTGCCATCCGCCTCCAGTAATACCTTTTGAGACCAAAGTTTGTGCGATAGGTAATGGATTTAGTTATTTTAAGAAAAAGACACTTGTCAAGTACGAAGTCTACATGAGACAGCATGGTGAACCAGTTAAGCGTAGTAAAGTGTCACAGATTACCAGTTGCAAACCAAATAATGGTGGAAGATTGCAGCATCGTTGCAGTTTCTGCAGTTTGAAAGAAAAGTCGTAAATGTTCCTCATTCCTCATCAAGCTAACTGTTTTGATTTTGGTTTAAAATCTTCCGAATGATTTTTTTTTCTTTCTACACTGCATTATTACTTTAGGAGACACAACGCAGGACTTCGTCGTGTCGTAATTTCAGCATCCATGAGGGTCAGCAAACAGACAGCAAATTATCCCTGCTAATAGCTAAAATGATGTTGTCGAACTCGGTATAACATTCCATAACTTAGCCATGGGTAATTAATGTCCACCTCAAAAGAAGCTTCTTTGTTACACAATCCTTCAGCAGCCACTACCTTTTTACCATACCCAGATCTCCTGTCAGATTTGCTGATTCGGTGTAATGACTTTCGGAAGGTAATCACATTATTCAAAGGCCTTGCTAAGAAAGCATTTGCTGAGGTTGTTCGCTGATGCGCATAACCAATCATGGGCGAACTCTTGTCGTGGAAACTAGGAATTCGGTCGTCTTACACATGTAGTTCGGCGGAAGCAGTTGCCATTTACCATTAGCCATGCCGAACATCGACTTTTAGAAATTTTTTGTAGCCAGGACGTATTTTCAATATGTGCCTAAATAGGATCCTGTTGTGAATCGTGTTTAGTCGCACTCCTGAATCCGGTCGCTCCACCCCCGACACAGGGGTCCCCTTTTCGCAGCATGTCGCCAGCCGCGCGGATCCTCAACTCCTACCTCATTCGCACGAATATTTACCTTGGATTATCCTCACACATAGGTCTCGATGTTAGTGCACGTATGACTCACACATCCGAGGTATAAATACACACGCGCAAACCCCACACATGACACAACGACACTAACGTGGTTGACCTCTGAAGTAAACGGTTGTATCCACGTCCTCTCTGGTCTTTTCCTTCATCGCGGGTATCACGGAAACGTAATCGGACCAGGGTTAATTCCGTAGCCGTGGCGTGGTTCAAGACCACATGCTGTGGCCCACAGCAATCCCATCCTCAAAACTGTCATTTGGTCTAATAACTCGTGGTTTTTTTGAAGAGGCCGTCATTAATTCCGAACGAGGTTTAACAGACATCGGAAGAAAACAAATCTGCAGGGTTTTGGCTGTGGCACCCATGCGTGTTTGAAATGAACTTGGTCCGTTATTTATATTTAGGTTGGTTTCACGATAAACAATGATCGTACATGCTAGATTCCCTAAATAGCTGAATATCTCTGATTTTTGAACGAACTAGACATAAAGCTTATTCCATGAAACAATTAAAGGGCGCTGACTTGTTATGGAGTCGATGTTAGGTGTGAGGACTCGGAGACTACAGCCATCATTTTGTCATGCCAAATTAATAAAACCCGAACTCAACCTTATATCTTGCAGTGTCTTGTATCTAATCCAACAGTTTCTTACACTCCAAAAACCACACTAAAACTACATCTAATTGTCATAAACTGGTTGCACCTTGGTGTTGATAAATTGTAGATGGGTAAATTTAGGCCTTAGAACTTGATAAGCGTCAATTTAGATTACCTTTCTTGAAATGTCGATTCGTGTTTTGCTGAGAAAAAGTGGCCTTAACTACCACCACACAAAGCCATTTAATGTAGAGATAGAAGCGACTTAAATACGCTGTTATTTGGTAATCACGGCATACGCTTGTTGGTTAGTGCAAACATTCGTTTTGATTTGACTTGTTATTGTGGATACCAGTAAGACAGGCAAATAATACAGCGATCTAACTTAAAACTTGTTTGCTTCGCGCTTTGATTGGAAACGTCTTCTTCACTTCAATTAATCAAAAGAGTCTCTCTGGTTATTTAAACACATATTTTGTCAATAGTAGGTTTTAGCAAATTATGTTAAACATTACATAGTGCTGTCGACACAAAAAATTTCCATGGGTGTCATTTTTGTATACCTTCAAGTTGAAATTCTTGACAAAATTAAGGAAGAATTGAGCAGTATTTATACCAATGACCTGGATAGTTTAAGAAAACTGCTTCAAAATTCTTATGAATGAAACACTAATGGCAGAGAAGCCTTTTCCGAAGTAGACACTGCTGAAGCTATGAATAATTTTTAGATACATTTGAAGTCTTTGCTGCAGCAGTGACTAGACGCTTGAAGGTTGGACAAGAAATTCACAGCTCGAAGCTAAAATGGCTGCTTGAACACACATGAAATCAAATAGTTTCCAAGCGATGTAGAAATCACAATGGAAATAAATTAAAACTGAATAACAGAGGAAAACGTGATGGAAGAGGAATAAGATGATTTGCCTTCTTTTTTGAACACACCAGTAGATTTCCTGCTTCACACATTTAATAGGGATAGAAAGTGACAGTTTCTGTCAATTTCCCTGTTCAAATTGAAAACAGAGATGTCACGTGTACTAGAAGCTGTGTCTTAGGCTGTGATGTGTGGTTTGCCAAAATGTCAGATAATCGAACGATGCAAAAAACGCATTAGGGGCAATGGTTACAAGCTCTGGGTTTCTTGTATAATGGTAAAAAGACAAGTTCTGGCAGCCCAGGTTAGGCAGAAGAAGTGCTTAGGGCGTTAAACGATACAACTGATCACACCACAGTTAGGAAAAAGTAATTGACAGGGTTGGCCAAAATAGCCCATTGTGTTCCACCCTGACAACGCTAAACTGCATGTAACCAAGGCACTTAGCAGCAATTATTGTAACTTTTCTTAAATGTTTTGATGCATCCATCAGTAAGTGTTTTTTTTTGTTCCGTAGACCTCAACTGTATGTGCAAATGTGCCATATCTGCGAAATGACACTAATGTTTTGATGTATTTTGTGAAGTCAAGAACTGATTGCTTTTGCGATCTTCAAAGAAAAAAGGGAAGTGAGAAAAATCGTGACATTAGTAAGAATTGGAGTCCTTTTTAACAGAGCAAGTTTCATAGGGTGGTCGAAGTTTGAGTAAGATGCGTTGAGTTTGCAGCCGGAGTAGGCAGTAGCGCTGATATTACTGGTTACTTGGAAATACAGTTTTATTTTTTTATTATAAATCTCATGGCCAGTTGCCTCATGATCAGTTTGGGCAATGAAAACCTGGGTAGAAGCAATTTGGAGGCATTCTGCACAACTGCGCACTACACGCGCCAAAAATGCTAACTTCTTTGGCTATTTTTCACAATGTGCATCATTCACGAGAAAACCTTTCAGTTTCGAAAAGGAATGCGTTCACGAAACGAGAAAACCACTTTTTTTCAAGGTGTATTGGATTTATTTCCCTGGAAAGACGACTTTGTCACTGGCTTACTAGTTTAATAAACTTATAACACGTTTGAGAACTTCTGAGCCTTAATATCAACACGTACCTATCTTCTACAAACAAATCTTACTTCAAGAAATATTGTTTTGTTTTGGGTCATTAGATAGTATTGAATTAAATATCCTTTGCTTAATGAAACAGCAGTTGATACTGGACTGAAATCTAAAATAATGCTCTAATCTACACACATTAGTGGACATTTTCTTGCACTAAGATCTGATCAACAGAATCAAGCTTGTGACAACATTTATCAGATGCATGAAATCAATGTACTGGATGTTAGTGATTAACGTGAGAATAGTTCAAATTAAAAATATACTAATCAGGTTTATTTGAAGACGCGTGACATACTGGATTGAAGGCGCAAAATGTGGATCAGATAAGTTACTTCGAACTGAAAGTGGGCTTTGTTGGGTCTGGAAAATTTTAATCTTGAATAAAAGGAGATATCTGACTATGTACTTCATATTTGTCAAGTCCGTAAAATTATGCGAGTCTGATTTGCCACTAAGACCTGATATGATGTGATCTTTGGTGAAAGCAGCACGACTGAGGCATCGTTTTCGCTGGACAAGAACGAAACCAAAAGACTTCAGCTTACCGACGAAATTTTTTGAAAAAAGCAATTCAAATTCAGTTCCGACCACGGCGCTGGCAGGATCGACTTCGGATGTCACCGACTTGACCGAGTCAAGCCACGAGGGGTAGCGTTTAAAGTCCGTGACAAAGCGGAAACACCGCATGGCCTGCTGGTTGAGGACGATGTCCAGCTCAAATATCTGCGGTCCCGGCGTCACACAGAAGTACGCGACGGCACTGGCCAGAATGACTACAGCTGGGAACCAGAAGTTCATTTGATCAGGCAGAAGCGGGAGAAAGACGGTGATTTACAACTAGGTGATGCCTCGCCCTGTCGCGCCTCCCTGGCCGGATATGCGTGCGTGCTTGGATTCCACCACTTAGCCAATGGCACCGCTGGATTGCCATTGGGACAAGGAGTGCGTAAAAGGCACGTTTTGCATGCTTGAAAATAGGTAGAAACAGACCAATGCGGTGACCTCAGTCACGCACCAATGGTGGGCTGCATTGACAGGGAATTTGCTTTTGACAGAAAAATCTTCCTGTTGCCTGGTTACTGCTCAATTGAAGGGCGAAAATGGATGCTGTTTTTCACTCGGGCTTCCTACTGTTATTCTTGTTTGTGGAAAAGCACACGCAGCCACGTTTGACTCCCCATCATTAATGTTGCATACAATTTTTCAGCACAAATCAACTTTAGAGATGTTTCTTGACCCACTTCAACCAAGGTATTGTATTTTCTCATCATTCAGACTAATTTTATTTTGATTCTACACGTCTTTTTAGAAAACAAGTTCATTGAGCCTGCTATTTTTGTAGACTTTTGGTCTACTGGAACGTTACTTTACGTTTAATTTGAAAACAATTTGAGCGATCAACGTGAATTTATATCATGCTTGTATGCTCTTGTACACGTGTTTGGCAATTAAACACAAGATGTGTGAACGATTGCATGCGATCTGCATACTCTAATGAACGATTCGGGTTAGTATTTACGTTATGCAGTACGCTTAGTACCTTTATTTGGATTTAATAAGCAAATCGAATAGGCATTACAGTCCACCAAACGCTCATTTACACAATGCTTTAAACGTTAAGCAAGTGATTTGAACGTGGCATTTCCTGATTTTTTCGTATTAGTTCACTGACACAACACCAGGACACGTGGACTGACATCAAAATAAACAACTGTGCTGCCATCACTTGTGTTTTTATTGCTGTCCGACAAAGCGAAATTTGTGTTAGTCTCTCGCTACAAATCTTCGAACATGACAAGATGCCTCCCACAAAAAGCATCTGTTTTGAATGGACATAAACGAGGGCGGTTTATTGCTAGTTCAACCTAACGGATAATTTGTAGCTCACAAAACTGTGTTTGGACGACTCCATAAAAGACTCAATCATGATCCGATCAAGGGTTAAAGACCACCGTTAATCGGTTTTATCAATTTCGTTTTTATTTGACCTGTACTACTTCTCTGCTAGTCTTACCATATAAATCAGCAACAAGCAATCTAGTTCAGCATTTAAAACAGACCTAAAAGGAAATTTCATTGGCTAAGGAAATCCATGAATGGAAAAGTGGCCCAGGAAACTAGCAGGCACCAATTAACTTCAGTATTCGGATAGTGGACATAAAGCCAAGTGATTTTACATTGGAGCTAAACGAAGCCTTGACAAATTTCCGTCGCTGCATTATGCACACATTAACGCCTAGGTTTCTTTGACAGAAATGCAAAAAAAAACTGAGAAAACGAGGCGTTCATACATCGTTCAAAGGCATTTATTTTCGAAGATAAGTAAAAAAGCTAGAGAGGGTTATGACACAGGTGCCAAAGGCAAAAAATAGTCCATACACATGACAAATAACTGGGACCTGATGCGGTATGTACAAAAAAGAAGTCAAAGAGGAAGTCGCTAATCCTGGGCTTTGTCGCTCCCATTCTGATTCAGATGGGCTGAGCGTCTAACGTCCTTGAAACCCTTGAGCGCCAAATAGCGTCTGTTCATTTCCCGTTCACAACATCTCCGCTCGACGTCAGCTGAAAAAAAGAGTTGAAGAATGTGCTACAAGCTTTCAGTGCGATGTTGGGCATGTGTGTGCGGTGTAAGTGCATACCATGGCAATTTCATTTATTACCATGAATGTCTGCCTTCGATATCCGTTTACGAGGTATTTCCTATTGCCTGGTTCAAACAGTAGTGATCCGCTTCCTTGTCAACTGTTCATTCACCGACAAGTGATCCCGTGGGTATGCAATTTACAAATTGGACGTTTCCCTTAAACTGTGACGCTAGCTAATCTATAGGCGAGCATGGTAGATGACTGATTCATGGGAATATTGTTCTATCCAAAAGGTTGTTCGCAAGTAGCCAAGTCAAATTGAGTGACTACGCAAACAAATTTGAATGAACCAATCGTATATTAATAACCGAAACTATGCTCAGCTGCCCCAATATTTTAAAATAACTGTTTGGTAGTAACACTACTTGACTAATCATCTCAGTTAACTGGATAAGTGAACGCCACACTGCAAATGTCACCAACACCATCGCAAAAAACCCCTAGAACGTAGACGTCAGGAAGGAGGTGTTAAGAAGGCAGCTATATGTACTAGCTTCCAAATCCTTCATGAGACAGTTGTAATAGAAAGTGCGAATGTTAAACGATAGTTGTCCAACTCACACGTCGCTGTTTCCATGTAGTTCTTGAGTTCCTTAAATGTCATGTCATTTATTCTGGCCAACAGGACTTCGACTGCGATGGCGGGACCAATATCAGCAAAAGAGCTGACTGAGTCCTAGGAAAAACAAAACGCAAATAACTGAATTTAAGTCTTCGGATAACGCAATGCTAGTTAGTATAATTACATGCAAATTTAGAATGCGATAACATGACGTACACATGAAGACAATAATTGGTGAAACAGCATTTCAGGGAAATTAACTTAGGCCATGCTAAGTTACTGAAGTTGATTGTCGATTAATTTTATTTTGATGGAACATGCTAGACATGGTTAGACTTTGAACGACATAGAATCATTACAGAAGCAAAGTATTGAGAGGCCAATATGAGTTCTCAATAACTGCAGAAGTTTAAGTAAGAATCTAGACTCGTACATAGTGACTTCCGTTGGTGTAACTATTGCGTACTCCGTTGGTTTGGGTTTCCATTCGGCCATTCAATCTAAAATAATGATAAGAATGTTTTCGGTTATCGCGCCGAAAAACCGAGTTAGGGAAATCAGAATTTGCCATGAAAACGTTCTCTGTGAAATTGATATTAACTCGTTCACTTATCTCTTTTCCCACTTTGCATAACCACCTTAGCCACATCATCCGCGTAGTCACACTTTTAAGATCACACGGTCACCACCCAATCAGAGTTAATCTCTCTTAATACATCAGGTCAAGGTCGTAGTGACATTTCACTCGGCTTTTGGCCGAGCCAATAGAAGCTCCTTCCACGAGGTCCTGATGGGAAGAAGGTGTGAGAAGGTGGGGTTTGTGTTAAACACGACACTTGGCGCATTGGTTCTCTGAGGGCTTGCTAGTTGTTACTGGTAAAGCTTAACACTGCAATAAACACATGTTCACTATGCAAAGTGAGCCGGCGGCTGTATGCGCGAATTCCAGCGTATTGTGTCCGGGTATTACCAGACACAATCAAGATGAAGCTAGACGTGTCTCAGGAAAAGAAGAGGGAATACGAAAGGAATTCAAGGAAGAAATTCCAATGGGTCACGATCGGACACACGGGAGCTGTAACTATCTTCTTTCTCGTCCGAATTCATCATAAAATGAACATTCGTGATAATATTAGGTACCAATTTCAATTACTCTGAATAACAACAATGTCGTAAAAATTGTTTTTTTGTCACTTCAACCAATGTAAGACATTTTTGCCTTTTCGGACATGGTAACATAGGCGCAAACTACTAGGATGTTTAGGTAACAAGCGATGCTCTCTTTACGATGAAATCGGAGTTCTTTTGCAAGTGGGAAGTGGTTGGGTGTTTGTCAGAGAAATCTAACAGATGATAAACAGGGCAGAGTGAAATGTCCACGAAATTAGGCTTCAAGTGTTGCGATGAAGTGCATCACATCGCAGGTCGACCTGTAACGACAGGCACCACCAAGGTGGACTGCTAAATATACCTAACCTCAGATCCGTTTCTGTTGACTCCAAAACTAGTGCCTCGTGGGCATGCTAGCCGTATTTAAGCAGCTGAATCCCCGCATGTTGTTGATGTTATCGTTAAGACCACGAGCTAGTTTTCCTTAAAACTCTATTTACACAGTTTTACAGTTTGTTGTATGATGACAAACAGCTAGCGCACTACCGCGTAAATGGCGTAGGCTAGAAGTGATTATCCAATTTAGAAGCTAAATAAGTTCAAAATTTTGAAGAATTTCGTTTTCAACTTCGTCCTTCACCAATTTTAGCTCTCCTATTTCTTTCCTGTCAATTTTATTTACTACGAATATGTAGGAGAAAAAAATAAGGACAGCAAATTTGCTTTAAGGTTAAAGATGCAAAGAATTTTAATTTGAATCAGTAAAATTTTGCCCTAAACTCGGGTGCCCAATGTCAAATTGCTCCTTTGAGATTCACGGAACTGGGAAAACTAGACATCAGAGAACTCAAACATCGACTCACGTGTTCACACCATCTGGTGGAGCGGCGTAGACCGCTTGGCCTTCGTTGTGTGCCCGGATCACCGGCTGGGTCATCGTGGCTCGCCTTGAAGCCTCCTCTTCCTCAAGACGTCTTCTCTCCACCTCCGCTCTTCTCTCAGCATCCTTCTCTGCAGACGCTTTCCTGTGCGCTGACAACTGGGCCTTAATGTCTCGCACACTAGCCTGGAGTCGCTCATAGCTTGCACGCACTTCCTCAGGTCGAATACTTTTCGCGTTTTGGTGGATGCGTTGCTTCAATTCTTGTAGTTCAAGCATTGCTTGTTCTACCTACATCATCATCATCATTATCGGGTCAGTAACTCTCAATTCGCACTCCAGTAAATATCACAAAGGCATGTTGCAATATTTCATTGGTTTCGGATATAGTTCCCACTATCATCACATGTCATCATTTTTCTTAATCCTCTTTTGAACAGCAGTCGGAGTTTCGTGTTGTATACCACTAAAACTCCCTAATATTCGTTAGAATGTCATCTGACATAACTGAGACTCTTGATGACGTTCGTGGATGCAAAGAGAGTGACCAATAAACGTGAATTGGCTTTAAACGTCTAGACACCTTAGAGACAATTTTCGCTAATCAACTAATTAGTGTTACGGAAGAATGTGCAGAAATAGGGACCTGTAAGTGCAAGAAGTGACTTACTCCTGCACAGCCTTGGGCCTGAAACTCAGGTAGGCTGTTATAGGCTTCTTTTACTTCCGACAATTCCTTCGCCATTCCTTTCATCTCCCTGGCAACCTTTATCATGTAGCCTACATGTTTACGCGCCAGCCAGCCTCGTATGTAGCTCTGAATTGTGACTATCATTCTGCCGCGATAGGCCATCTTCTCTCGCACTAAAATGACAAAAAAAGGATGCCTTCGGAAAAAAAGTAGGTGCAAATGTTGTCTTTGGGTTTTAAAATGAAGGTGACAAATCTGTTTACGTCAGTTTCATATGCATTGTGGGGCAACAGATACAATTTATGGGTGTCGGCTTAAAACGCAACAATTCCACCTGATAAGTCACGGTTTCGATATTTGCTGTAGAGAGCATAGTACCTAGCTACTACAAGGGTTCTCTAACCCATAGAAAAGAAGAAACATGGAAATCGGGTCTTCATAACTAAATCGGAAGTAAAATTCTTATTAAAAAGGAATACGCTACAAGAAATCGTCTTCGCAACTTCAGACTACTTAAAATTAACTAGAATTTAGAGATCCTGATCACATGACTTGTGATTGAAGGACAACTTCAAAAGTTACCGCTGCTTTCTTTAATTTTTAAAAAAACCTAAAGTCCGTTCTTAACACAACAAGGCAAGAGTTGATTTCGGGAAGCATCAAGCACTGGTCATTGATGCCAAGCGAATGGTGTCTTTATTTAGAGTAAGAAAAATATGCATGTGATCTAGTTCAGAAATGCCAGCGCCGCTTTGGTAAGCAGGCGTTTTTGATGTTTTTTCTTGACGTTAAAACATCGACCGCAGAGTTGAATAACTTAACGATTGGACCAATCTGACGCCATTTTACGGAAGTGCAATGTATTTCCCATTAATTATTGGAGGTGCAATGCTTGGCTTTTTACAGCCAATTTCATCGTGAATGCCAAAAGGCATTACTGAGACGAAAATTGAATTTGTCACTAAAATTATGCCTTTCCGAAGGAAGAAAAGATGATTCGGCGCTTACATAGCAAAATTTTCAGATTGTTCTAACTGTTTTAGACTAAAATTTTCTTGAATTTTAACACATCACTGCAATAGTTATTAAACTGTTTTTCTAAATGATTTGAACCTTTTCTAGGTGCCTTGCAATCAAAGGGTACAGCAAGAAACTGTTGATCTTGGCATGTTGGTTGCAGTTTTTGCAAACACATCAATTCAGGGACCTGGATTTGAACCTATGCGAGTTGGTGTCAAAGTAGTGACCACTTGTAAAACTACAAAATTGATATGAGAGTTCAAGTAAGCGGCAATTACGGATCAGCGTTAGTTCGTGGCAATGCCGAAAACATGTACTTTATCACAGCAGAGGAGTTGAAAATGGTTCGGTGATATTTTCCCTTAAGGCTAATTTAATTAAGCAATCATTGTTAACGATAGATTTGCAAATAAATTCGACATTGGCATTCGATCCATCTAAACACTGTTTCATTTCCAAATTGTCTCTGTTTTTATCAAAGCGTTTTGAGAGTAAAATGAACCAGTCTTCGAAATCTTAGTGATTGACCTACATGAGGCCCGGTAGTATAAACAGTGGTTGCTAGCTTCATAAGTAGGTTATCAAAGGTCAAGCAACCACTTATTTCGGCTGAACCAATTACGTTCACCACACCCTCCAGCCAATGCCAACTTGAATCGGACGCATCAAGTGGCGTCATTAATGGCGGCGCCATTTGGTCGACTTGCAGGAATTTTGCAAAAGTGTCTAACGCTATGATTTAGGTGTTTTTGATGTTGTTTTGGAAGAATCATGGCAAGATATGTCACTGTCCTGGGTGCAGGAAAGTTCCATCGAAGGTGAAAAGACTAGACTGTTTTTTTGTAAAAATAGTGCAAGACCAAAATTGAATATTATCAGCGACTGGAGCACTAGACGCGCTCCAAAAGAGCCTCAGTTCTTTTCGGTAAAGTAATACATTCTGTGCATTCTGTTAGAATTAAAATTGAAATCGTAACACACCTTGCTTAACCTGGGTAGAAGTGCAGAAACACAATCCACTTACATTTAATAACGCAGATAACTGTGTAGATTGTCCGTCGCCAGCGATATCCGATTATCCACTTGCGAGCACGTTCTATCATCCTTGAGAGATTTTCTGGGTCCATTCGCAGGATCTCATCGAACTCGGCGAACTTGCCAGCCCGGAAGAACACCTTCGAGACACCGAACTTGTAGTCGTCGTTGTGCATTCCCACCGCATGGAAGAGGGCCTTAAGTGTTAAAGGGCAACCTCATTGTTAATTTTATTTAATGCACACGCGACGTCAATGAGAAAACCAAACGTGTTATCCGAGCGTACCCAAGATCTGTGAAGTGGAAGGCCTCTGTTGGTACAGTTGAAGCTTCGTTAGCACTACCTTACAACCCTGCTAATAGCCCATGACGAAAGGCAAGACAGATAATGGCAACAAAACGATTTATGAAATTTTACACTGCTTCTGGTAACTTGTTGGAAACGTTAGTCATCGACAAAAGCAGGCTCTTATAAGCTGACCTACCTCGGACGCTGGCGATGTTAACTATATCCGCTTCGAAAGCTGTGTCAGCATCAAGAAAGCAAACATGATAATTTACAATTAAATGTAATGTTTACACAGCCTGATTACTTTGTTGTACCCTTGTAATAACTTTTATAGTCGGGCATTCTTAAATCGTCCCAGTACATCGCAATGAAACCATACTGTGCTGGTCACGTATAAGCGGACCTGTTTCCACAGTTATTTTTGAATCGTTGCGCTAACTGTTAGAAACCTGTTAAAGGCGAAATCGGGAACGACTAGTGTGAGGTAGGAACTGCAATTTTGTTCTTCTGGAAAATTAGTATAGGTCCATAGGACATCTGTGAAAGCACCCAATTTCGTGGGCGCCGATTTGCACGCGAATCATTAACTTTGTGCTCAAAAATTGACCATTTGGGAGCTGGGAACCTATTATTTTGACTTAATATCACGACTCAGTCAAGTGGAGGTGAATCCGCGTAAATCCGTTCTGCATTTGATTTTGCAAGATAACGATGTTTGCTGTCTGGTATGTTGTCTGGCCACAAAGCCACAGTTATTAGTACCTAGGACATCAATTAACTTTTTCAGACACGTCAAAAAGGATTGAGCATGATAATGAATACTAAGAGAGGAAACTGTGCACAAATATGGCTAAAAAGAAAGTTATTGCATGAACACTGTCAACACTTAATCTTCGAATGTGGATTCTTGCTTTAGGAAGTCCTACCTTGAAGAACATACGTGGATCAAGCCGTCGTAGTTCCGGCGGCAGAAGTGGCTTGTAAGCGGCGTAGAGGTCGTTGAAATGTGTCCTTGAGGGGAAGCCCTGTTGCATTAGGACGAGTACGTCGGTGAGACCGAAGAATCGCAGCTGCAGCAGACACGGACCCCCCTCAAACTCGTGATCCACCATTCGGGAATTGGGCTTCACACAACGGATGAAATTTGTGCCCTGTGCAGGAATGAGTGAATAAGCATGTAGTTAATCGTGCTTATTCACGTCCATTCTCCGCCATAATGACCTTCTTTCCACAGCGTCCCTATCGATCTTGCTAAAGAGTCTGCTCAAAACACTCCTGTGAGCGTACCTCTCACACGCCACTGGTTTCATTCATCTGACCATCCAGCCATTTGTACTTTTACAGGTTTAACCAGGCTGTACTGATCGACAACCCCATTTAGACAGGCACCTTTTTTATACGCAGAGGCACGACTAACACAATTAGGCTAACCCGAATCTACCATCTATCTTCTTGTGTATCTGAGGAGGGTTTTCGGCCTAATTCTGATCAGCGGTCCGGAATGGCACATGACCACATGCCGACAACAATTGGTGACACCGACGTGAAACCTTTAACAAACAAAGATCTTTGGTCTATTTTCAAGCTGAAAAGGAAGGCCTTGAGGAAAATGCTTTTGTCAGACTCACTTAATCATAGGAAACTTACTGATAATCTAAGTTTTTTGATTAGCTCATTTATCTGCTCTCTGAACTTGCTGCCCACGCTGATGAAGTTGATTTTGCCGGCAATGTTGGACTGGAGCTTCTTCAGGGTCCACGTTTTTGCTTCTTTCGGCTACAAAAGTTAAAGCATTTGACTAAGACAGAACGGAGATCAAAAGGTTATTATTTTGCATCGGCAAGCACGTGAACTTGTGACTCTTCGTGCCTAAAATAGCTTTGAACTTATTGGGTAGGTTTAATGTTGACATTCCTTACCACTTCGACTGCATGTGATTACACCTCACCACGAGTCATCATTTTGACCACAGCTGACCAGTCACCAATCAGGTGGCGATTAACCATTAGTCATCACACAAACTCAATGTTCATATCCCAACGTGTATAATGAGCACATTATCTGACCATCTGACTACTTTCAGGTATCAATGCTGGGCGTTGGCTTTCACAAGTCGTAACCTCAAATGAAACTGTGGCGACCGGCAAGCCAGCACAGCGAGCATTCGTGGGCGAACACAAATCAATCGATTTTTTTACCGTGGCTGACTGTTGTGGACAGACAGCCACCGCGCGCATGAGTGCTGCGTGCGTGCTTGTCCGACTGTATTGATGACTCACCCTCTTTGTTATTGGCTCTTGTTAGTGTCAGCAGTCGCCTGTCACGCGCGCGTATTGATACACACACAAAAAGTTAGTTTCTCGATTTTACTCGACTATACTTGGATGGTGTGACACTAGTAGGCGGTCGTGTTCTCTGTTGCCGCATTTCCCCCTATCCTCGGGTGGTTACGGGCTGTTAACTAGAGGGTTGTAAGGTAGTGCTAGACCCTAGCCACTACAGACTCATTCCCGGAACACTTGGCTGATTAACAGCGATCTCGCCTGAGTGGACCCTGGTTACTGGCCTGACGGTGACAATGACTCATCCCCTTTTCATTGGTTACTGTATCAGATGCCTGTCATCCGTTCGCTCATCCTGACACTAAGACACATTTTGGCTGGCGTGACGCTGATAAACGGTTGTGTCCTCTGTCTCCACTTTTCTCCCTTTCCTCGGGTGGTTACGGGCTGTTGACTAGAGGGTTGTAAGGTAGTGCTAAGTCTCTAGCCACTATGAAACCTTCAAGAAGGTTCACTATAACCAACGTGTCCGTATTTACGTAACCAAACACACCACCAATTTGGTTTATCTGTGAAGTGTACAACTCAAGATTTGGAACATGTTCTTGTGTTTTAAACAATGAGTGTTCCTACGTATGGTCAAGAGCAGTTCATTTCCGCTTGGTTCAGCTTAAAAGGGATAAATAGAACTAGGAGATGGTCTTCATTGAAATTACAGCCTTCTGTTTGCCACCATATCGATGACACCACTAATGGCAGAATACAACGGTGATTTTTCCCACTCACATTGTGCATCTTGCGAAGCAGTTCATTGGTGCTGGAGTGCAGGAGTTCCTCAAGAGAGCGGTGGAGCGCGTCGTTGTTCTTCGCAATGAACTCCGCAGTCGTGTAGCAAACCGGGCCGGCAAAGTGGCGCAGGAGGAAGCCCTCGCTATCCCGGAGATTTTTAAATTTCTTCTCCTTCCGCGGCACCTGCACAATCGCAAAACGTTTCAGTTAAAGCGGGCCAGTGACGAGAGAGCACATTTGTCAAAAGTCAAGATCTCACCGTGAGGCGTGCGTTTCCCTCGTGAACTCGGTGCACTTCGTCGGTGAAGTGTTCACTGTTGCAATTTGGAAGGCGACTCTCTTCGTCCAGCAGCGCCAGGATGCCCGTCTTCTTTTGTTCGATAAGATCTACAAGAAAAAAGCACTTATTCAGGTTTGCTGATACTAATAAACGCGACTTTTGTGACGTCTGTGTTGGTAAACATAAGCTTCGAACAAGTCACCACCGAAATATCGCCTTCATAAGTACTAGTCAGACGTGTCTATGCTTGCCTATTAGAAAGATGAGGATTCCGTGCCATTTTTTGGATTTCTTGACCTTTAACCACCCGAAAAGAAGTAATGTTAAAGCAAAAATGATTGCGAAAGCAAATCAGGCCAGGAAATCATTCGTCGTGGCAACTTAGACTACGTAAGCATGTAGGCGCCATCGTAAAATAACCCACATTTATTTAACTTAGCAGTAGCCATGTCACCTGCTTTAAAATTAAATTCATTATGATTGCTCAGCTGCCTTCAAAGTACAAAAAAGCTGAAAATACAACACAAAATCTGTATTTTAAACCTTTGTTTTATTGTGATTCTCATGCACACCGGATGATTAGATCACGCTACTTTCTCTTGCAAAAACTTGCGCCACCTTGTTTATTTACTGTTAGCCAATGAGATTTTATCAACCAGGATCAAATTTTATTTACGACATTCTGATTTTTAATTGACAGATCCAACCTTCAGTCATGACGCTCATTTTTTAAGTCCGGACAACATTTGGCTAATTAGACAGAGTTACGTCTTTCCACTGATTTGCTGAGAAGGCTCTCGCCTACGTTGAGAGAAGGATTGAATAATCGAAAAAATATCCTTGCCTTGTCTGCTGGCACTCGACAAATTGTTAAGTCCCCCTTTTGTGAACAGCACACTACGTGATTCCTCTTCAAAGAATACTGTAGGGTAGTTGCTACCTATTCCAGAGAATCAGATGTTTGCCATTTACATTATCTTCCACGAAACACATCAACGATAAATCTCAAGGGGCAAGGTCGGGCGAACAGGGTCAGTTCCACTAAACGACTTTGCTATTTTCGCAGTCTCTGTTAAATGACCTGTAATGTAGCGTTGTCATGTTCAATGCTTTCAGCTTTTTCGATTGGCGTTCTGTATTGGGGCAGGTTGAGAAGCTCACAATTATTTTTTGATCACGTGAGAGAGTCTAGGTAAGCAATATACATCAGGCAGATAGCAGCATCTTCGTTGGATTCGATTCCGTTGCTTCTAATTTGTCACTTCCATGCTCCCAGCTTCTTCTACATTTTTATCTTTAAATGTGCATTTATCAAACAATTGCTGAGCTTGTGGCCACAAATTAACATAAATATACATGAGAGGTAACGTGACAAGCGTTGTACGCGTACTTAGCAAAGCCACATCAACACATACGAAAGTGCAGACTCAAGTCATCAGTGGAATTTGGGGAAGAAATTTTATAACCACCAAAAGCAAACTGACTGACCTTAGGGCCGACACGACAGGCAAATGTCCAGTGCCATTAATTACAAAACCCGTCAGCAAGGTTGCCATGACAACGTACTTTCTGGCGTGTCGAGGACTGCATGCGGCCTTCCGTAAACTTTCATTTGATTGCACCCAGTGACCCCATTAAAAACGCATCAGGTCTTGTCAGGCAAACACAGAAAACGGATTTGGCAGTCCAAATTTGGCTTTGCTCGAGCTTGACTTTGGGTCTATACTGCAAAAACCAAACCTCCTGCTGCTAGGTCACGTGACGACCACTTCAGCACCATCTACTAATCTGGGATAATTCGTTGCCCGTGCAATTAGAGCTAACGCATTTGAAGGTACTCGCATTACCTAAGCAATGTTTCACAGCGTCACACTAATCAACCATACGAGGTGCAGCTAAAGGAATATTAAAAACTTCTACTAAGCGCTTCCCTGATATCGATCTTGATGCAATCAACTTTGATAAATGGGTAAAAACGAATACATTGCAGATATGCAATCCTGAAATAAGTTAATCAACCAACAGCCGAGGTTGTATACGAAAGGAACGTGCTCCCCTGCACACGCATGTTGAAAAGTCATTGTAATTTATGTGTCCCTGCAAAACTATCGTCACCACTTATGCAAAATCGACTTCTGCAGTAGTTTTGAAGCTGTCGAAATTCCAGGAAATTGGACTGAACGGATCCGGATGAAACACTGATTATGGTGACGCCAGTTAAAAGTGAAGCTTTGACTGGTGAACGAAACACGATGCATCTATTGCATTGGCTTATAAAACCAATCAGATGCGTTGTGAAAATTCAGAGCTCGTTCGCTCACTTTAGAAACAAACAGACCACTTAAATTCGCATGCATCAGAATTCGGTGTAGCGATTTACCCTATGCATACTTTCCAATCTATTCAAAATATGACGAAGTTTGCCCATAAATTTAACTTTTAAGACGTTTTACATCTAAAAAAAACAAGCCACATCATGAACAAGTATGGCCCAGAAATCTTAAGGTCAAAGATCGTAATGTATTGGCCAAAAAATCGATGACAGGATTGGTCGACAGTCTTTCGAGGCAAAGGCTTTTGTAACACTCAGAGGAGTTTACAAAATTTAAAGAAAAATATAATGATACACAAGCTTTAACGTGCAGTAGTAAATTTAGTCTAAGTCGATTCCACGGTTTAACTTCTAATTTCGACTTGCTGAGCAAAATTTAAAAATTACATCTGCGTTAGTCTTATTCACAATGTGAATTTGCAGCACACGTCGCAGACGGTGTAACCACATTCCTAAATCTATCCAAAGTGTTCGTTTCAAATCTCTATTTTTAATCAAGAGAAATTTAAGCTCATTTGTCTCTAATACAAGTACCTGTCCAGGGTCTGACTTAACTGCCATGTTAATTCCAGTGCAAAAATAACTCCAACCTTCATTCTAAGATAGACAAAGACAAATGCCGACTGGAGACACAAACAAGATTTTGACAGTCCAAAAAAATACACGCCATTTTCTACTAACATGCGTAACGTGCAGCTGTGCTTCAGCAACTCCTGCAACATTTGCAGATTCTGTAAATGGGAAAATTAAAGCGCTCGGTTATTGTTGTGTTGACTGTAGGACTTGGGACGTACGCAACTGAAAAAAAATGCTTGAAAGCATTGCTGATCCTCCGCAAATAAAAATTTGAACTTTAAAGCAAACTGTGGCCATTCGTTCCAAAGGAGTCACTGGGTTACAATTTCGAAATTTAACCAGCAGCTATGCCCAAAAAGTGTCTGGTAGCAATGAGCGTAACATTAACACTAACTGTTGTGGATAAATCAACAACCAAGGATGACTTGTTAAACGGCAAAAGTAGAAATTCATTGATAGAAATATTGAATTTAATCTCAGGAATTGGGAAACTCAAGAGCACCAAGTTAAGGACCTTGTAAGAAAAAAAGATGGCAAAACTGTCTAACAAGGTTCTTCTATTTCTGTGCTACTAGTTAGAGAGAAGAATCAGATTTTGTTATCGTTTTCATGTTCAGTTGTGCAGCAACAACTGACTGATAAGAGGAAACAGTTTTCCAAAAGGTAACTAAATTTACAAGACACCGGTAAAGTCTTGTGGAAGCAGTCTCTTGCAAAGCGGAAATCGGCGAGAACAACAAAACCAGATCGATTGTGCATTTTTGAGTTCATGATGCTATTTTCCGCGAAAATCGTTTCTAATTTACCTACCTGAAACACTGTCGGACTACTAGGAATTCATACTACATCAGTGGTTACTTGATTTGGACTTTAATTGGCTTTGAAGTAACAGTCAAAACTGCCTGACGATTAGCGATACAAAACCAAAAACTCATTTGCGAAATTTGGAATTTTAATGAGGTATCTGTGCACCAACTTTTATCCAGTCCTGCGTAAAGTGAGAGCTGTAAAATTCACATTAGATTGTCAAAATATTCAATGCAGGCCGACTTGAGCAGCACAAACAGACAAGATCATAAACAAGAAAGAGCAATGATTTGGGTTTCGGTAAACCGCCCTGATCATCCCACATTGTCTTAGAGAAACATGTACTTTGGAAACAATGTGACGTTTAGGACACAACCAGCAAGTTTCCTACTTTTTTGGCTGTTTTCTCGCCTTTTCTAATGCAGCGCATTCTGTTTTAAAATGGTAAAAGTTGCACTTTATGTAACCCGGCCCTGATAGTTTACTGGCTCAGCTCTATTAAAGTCCCTTATTTTTTTGGCAAATTTTGGCAAGCGTTTTCGCTGCCTACTGTTATTTAACGCTACGAGTCCTGGAATGATTACATTTAATTGGTTACATTAAAGTTATTCAAGACTGTTTAAACGTACTAATGAATAAACAAAAAAGCAACTCTGAATTCCACAAGAAAATGGTGCTGTGATTACTTAAAAGACTTGTAAATTAATTATGGCGGAATTTGAAAGCAACGTGACCTTAAAGGTCACTTGCGTTTGCTAGTTCAGGATCAATTTTAACATAGATTGCAATAAAAAAGCATTTTTATGCTGGAGTGCATTTTACAAACGTTTCGAAGGCTGATAAGCATCATTATTGCTTAATTTGATGCACTTGTCAAATTGAATGAAGGAAATATAGTCTAAACTAAGAACACGATCTAATCCGATAGTCATTTTTTTGTGAATGATCCTGCTGTTAGATTAGTAAAGCATTCACAACTATTCAAACTACTTAGCATAGTTTAGAGAGGTGCTCAAACCAAAAGCACCGAAATCGTTCCTTTTCGAAACGAATCTGCCTAAGTGATGAAGAAGGGACCGTCTAAAATAGCATCAGCCGAAAACGGCATTTTTTTTAAATCCATTATGCACCCTCAGTCAATCTCCAAAACTGACTCCTTGCTTTTTGGATCTAGATGAATTCCGTCCTTCTACAAACTGCGTAGCGTGTGTCCAAACCATAGCACCAAATGTATGGGCCAATAAAACTTATATCCACAAATCTCAACGTCGTAATTCCTTACTTTATTTGGAGTATTAATTGGGCGACATATGGGCTGGCCTTGTCGTGACGAAATATCGCGTCTTTTCCATTAACTAAGCTCGCACGCTTTTACGTGGACTTCAACACTGAGCTGGGTAAGATGCTTGTTCGGCCACGGGAAGAAGCCCATGCGCCATTACGCCCCACCAATCACACATCAGGCGCGTAACATAACTTTTGTCGAATGAGCTGATCCAGGCTTTGCCAAGGATTCTGCTCTTCAACACCAACGCTTCCAGCTTCTACTCTTTATTGTTACATTTTAAACAATTCTGATCTCAAGTTATACAATTACATATTGTTTTGTTTTCTCCCAAAACGTACAGAACCTACTTATTGAATTTAGAAGCATATCCGTGCTGCTTGACATGACAAAATTTAATCAAGTTGCCAACATTTTGTCGCTTAGTAATTACTTCAGTAGTAACTGAGACTTAACTAATTACAGAGAAATTCCTTGTCAATGGAGGGCCAAGTTTAAATTTGACTAAACCATTTTCAACTATTTAATCTAAAGTCTAAAATAACGTCTTGAGTAATTGCTTATCTAGCATCTACGACTGTTTTAAAAGCATCATTACATTGTTTTATTGTGGCTTTCCATGTTTGCACACACACACACACGCACACCCAAGCATAATTTTAAAAACGTTTTAGGATTTTGTTGACTCAGAAAGAAGTTTGGTAACAGCCGGTTGACCAAATACTTAGACAACACACGCATTAGTGCAGTCAAAGGTGACGGTTTCTACCATCTATGCGAAATATTGTGGGGAAAGGAGATATAGTATATTTGAACTCAGTCGATGACTTCTGATGGTCACTGTTAAAAACTAATGAAACTGAGAGAAACGGGTGGGTGTGGTCAATCACATACCACTGAGACATTTCAAAGCCTCATACATTCTTGCAAGCTCGTTAAAATTTATTAATTTTCATTTCTAAGTGACGTCGCATGCTGCATGTGGTTCTGACCCAGGAAATTAACATTAGTTCAAAGTTACAAACTGTGCGATTGCTCAGGCCAGTTAAGCATTTTGGTTCAGTTTTGTACACCAAACCATCAAAATATCGGTGCTGCTTGAAAACACGGTAAACGTTCATCTGACGAGGTGGAAAATGCACAGGTTTTTACATTGTAATTCCCTTTACGAGAGTTTTTTACGTTACACCTAAATGTTGAAGTCGCCTTCATAATAACTCGGTATTTTGAAGCTGTTTGAGGATACTTAACTGTTAAACTGTAAGAATTTAATATCCAAGCACAGAAGCTGTCGAAAATGTACCTGTTTACTGCAAGAGAGGTGCTGTGAATCGTGTTTAGTCGCACTCCCAAATCCGGTCGCGCCATCCTCCGACACAGGGTTCTCCTTTTCGCAGCATGTCACCAGCCACGCGGACCCTCAACTCCCTCCTCATTCGCACGATCGATTATCTTGGATTAACCTCACACCTAGATCTCGATGTTAGCGCATGTATTACTCCCACATCCGAGGTATAAATACACACGCGCAAACCTCACACACGACACAACGACACCAACGTGGTTGACCTCGGAAGTAAACGGTTGTGTCCACGTCCACTCTCCGGTCTTTTTCTTCATCGCGGGCATCAGGGAAACGTAATCGGGCCAGGGTCAATTCCGTGGCCCCGGCGTGGTTCAAGGCCACAATAGAACAATTTTAGGAACAAGGCGCTGCTTTGAAGATTGATGTCACATCCACGAATATCGCAGGCCTCTGTCACGCCTAAACCATTGGTCTGCTACCTTTAAATCTTCAGTCTTGTCACACTTTTGGACAAGACACACTTTCAATCTAACATTAGCTGCGCATTAGGCAACGACACATTTTGCCAAATAGTAAGAGCGACAAAATTTATTTAAAGGAACCCACTTTAAATTCGAGATGTAGGCCAATTCTTAATGCAATTGGTTCATTCTTCATGAAGTTAGTAAATCGAACAAGCTGTAGTAGGTTTTAAATGTCAAAGGCTGTTCCTGTAGGGATTGCAACCCAGTTGACCATATTTTGCTTCATGAACTTCCATTTGGCCTCATAGCTGGTTCAGTTCTTTCAGTTAAATGTGAGAAAACAGCTACGAATCGTGCAATAAAATCACAATCGCAGAACGCGCTCACCGATGCAGTCTTGGTTGTCGATGTAGGTGACGGTGGTGACGTTCAGGCCCTCCCTCAGGTACACGATCTGCTCTTCCTTCAGGATCCTTTCGTTGAAGAACTGTTGCAGCTTCTCGTTGCAGTAGTTTATGCAAAACTGCTCGAACGAGTTCACGTCGAAGTGTTCTACGCAAGGCAGGAAAACGGCAGCTTTAGACTTCTCGTTTTTAGCTTATTCAAACCGTGACTGCCTTTTGCCAATGTACACTTTTTGGGAGGCGGGTACGCTTAAAAACTGAACAATTTGTGAAAAGAGGAAAGACTTACCAAACTTTGCGTTTTTGGTTCTGACAAAAGCAGTCAAAATAATTGCGAGCTGAAATCAGTTTCAGCTGACTGAAGTGGTTTGTTTCAATTTAAAATGCGCAAACGGAGAATGGAAAGTCCCTTTAGACTGCTAGTGCTGCTGTCATTCCATTTATCACGTGCCCTGACGCACCAACCGTCTAGACAGGCATGCGCCATCTATCCACCAATCATCGTTCTCTAATAGATGCTATTTGTAAAAAAAATAGCTTCCTCTATCAAACACAGCTGACTGACAGAAGCAGCGAAATCATTGGCAGGTGCGTGGGCTTCACATCCGCTTCTACTGAACGATAAAGCACGTGAATTATTAGACTCGGTATATTTACCGGGATTCTCGGTAATTTCGATTAAGTGTGTTTAATTTGAGCTATTTCTTCTGCGAGATATTTAACAAAAATTCGAAAAGTAGTCTACGAAGACTCAAGCATTCCCGTAGTAATCACTCGTATTGCTATAAATCTCCCCCAACTTACAAATAAGACAGTTTTACCTCCTTATTAACTTACTGAGCCGTAGTAGTGTGTTGCGTATTAAACCTAATAGTTGTAGGTATATCAGGAATGAGTTAACCATCCGATTCAGTTTTGGTAAATTTAGTGTTTTGATGTGACCAAAATATTCTTTCTACTGACTATACATGAGTAGACAGTATTTGCCAACTTACCAAACCCTGCAATGTCAAGGAGTCCAATATAGGTGAATTTGTTCGACTGAGGAATCGCCTTGTTGATGCTTGTAACGAGCAGCTCAAATAAGCGATCATAGATGACCTTTGCAAGTCCATCACGTGCGTGTGAGGTTTCTTCAGCTCGAAGAGCTATGGTGAGGTCGCGTGTGCCGGTGACCTTGGTCGTCAACGCCTTCGACATCTTCGCGGCGTCGATGCCGAGCAGCTTGGCTGCCATGGCTAGTGAATGTTGGGACTGGGAGGTGACTGTGCATCCCCCTACAAAAAGGCGACAACCGTGTACTAGGCTTCAGGATAATGTCCATTTCGTGCTTACTCAAGAATCCGCATATTTAAATGATCAAACGGCAGGCTGCCTTACGATTCATCTCAGAATAAGCTGCCAAACGAAGTAATGGGGAAATGTGAACAGAAAATATGCCCCAATGCGACTTGTGGCTGTGGAGATAGGGGGAATTAAGGTGGTAAAGTGGCATTCAATAAACCGTCCATCGATTTCATTTGAATTCTATTAACTACTGAAATAGTGAATTTCAGTAACAAGTTAAAGAGTTTATACATGGACAGTGCAGTTTGTTGTGGCTCAGTGGGTCTATTCAATGTAAAATGCACTTTCATTACAAGAAGGCTAGAAGTGAAAAACGCGCCCAACCATCACCATCAATGTAAGCATTAAAAACGCAAGCGCGGAAGATGATTGGTATGCTCCGTATGCTCATGTTTGAACGCTTGTACTCAAATGGACCTTAACTTTGACTTCCAATATCTTCTGGTTTAGGCAATTATTCTGAGCGTGAAACAATGCACACGAGGCATGCGTGGCCTTTTTCCTTCACCTGTCTGCAGCGACAAACTTGTCAGCGTTTGCACGCCGCCTCTCATTGGTTCTTCCCACCCAATGAATTTTCGGTGGTCAAATTCAACCAATGCCATGCGGACTCAAAACAGCCTGCAATTTCAACCCACTCGTGGCTAGGACATTTTTTTCTGTTTTACGTCTCACGCATTGATTCTCGACCATTGGTTATTCAAGGTTTCGACAAATAGACATATATATTATGGTCGCGCACAAACATTGCCACATAATTGGCGACGTAACACTGGTTCAAGGAGTTCCGCTACTCCCGATATCACCCTATGGTATTGCAACATGGTTGTAAGAACTGTAGCCGAAGACCACGCTAAAATCCTGATTCACGAGAGGTTTGAGCCAGGGGCAGTCAAATTTGTTCTATAACCCTCATCTTGTTCCTTCTCAAGGGACACTGACTCCTCCACCGATGTGAGAGAATCTTTAATTCGCGTGGCCATGATGATGACATGTAAGTATACCAGGGGTCACCGTTTCACATGTTAATGTCCACCTAACGTGTGTTAAATTTTTCCAAAATGCAAATTGACTTTTAAGCAACCGTAATTGTGGTGAAAGGTGTGAAAAGACACTGTACATAGAAATTAACACCTGTGGGTTAATCATTATAAGATACCTTTGGGCAAAAACCAAGGTAAAAGCATAGGGCCAAAGTTAGCGATGAAACTTAGGAGATTTCACGATAAAAAAGTAAATAAATACAACCTCCGGGTCTTGAAGCATTGCAAAGGAAATGCAAGATAATTAACGTGTTAGATTGTCATAACCAACTGCGTCAATCGAATTCCACTGTACCGAATAGCAAGCCCTTGCATTCAGCGAAAAACACCTGCAATAATGCAGTTATTTATGGAGCCCTCTACCCAGAATTTGGCAGGTATGGAGTAGAACGCTTGGCTAGAAGCACTCTTCACATGCTTCTTACTTACCTACACACTTCCAAACGGAATTCTCCTGGCGTCAATTGGACTTGAGTTACGCCAAATTGGCACAACTGACACCATAGAGTGTAAATGTATACACCTCTGAGTCTAGTCGTGGTGTACTTTAAGGCACTTGTAAGAACTTGACCTATTTTGATGTTTATTTTCGTCTTCAACACACTAGTTAAGTTGTAACTGATGAATTCCAACTCCGGATCCGCATGGATGTAGACCAGATGGGTTTGTGCGTTCACACTTGGTTTTTTTTAATGAAGCGTCGAGATAGATTAATAAACGGCAAAGATGCGCCTGGTCTATTACGAATGACGATTTCATTGACTAGTTGCTCCACGTGAATGCCACCTGAATTAGTGTCGAAGGAGCACAAAATTTAGCTGCAAACGCACCGTCCCAAGCAGATGGATCATGCTCGGTGCAGAGATGCATGAACAACATTTTGAAATTATTCAGAACATGCCTGGAAAACTTGCCAAGGCGTTGATAAGTCAGACAGGCATTCTGACAGCACAAAAACGTGATCCGTAGGCACTAAACTGACATATGTTTTCACATCTTTCTAGTTTACAGGTCTTTTACAAAATTTTAGCTCACTGAGTCGTTTTCATTGGTGAGGTAGACACCCAAGCGGTGTCAACTCGAGCTTGGTCACCACGAGTGCTGCTGTTGGTCCAGCTAGTGTTAATTGCATGTTTTAAGGCCGACACCGACGAGCAACAGCGGCGCGTTTTTCTTTACTTTCTGAAACTGCGCACGTCTCGAAACACCCAAACGAGGTCAGGACTCACGCCTGGACATCCGCTAGTGCGCAGCCTGCGTGCACGAGCTTGCTTTCATCATTTTTCATGTTTATTTTGAAGAAAGCGGGTTGGAAGACACTTGACATCATAATTATGATTCATAATTGGCAGAAGGAATCTCCAAAACTTTTTTTTCAAAATTGAGTGATGCTCTTGCGTTACTCCAACGGCGCACTTGACACAGCGGGAGTTTCGACAGCTGCAACATTTGCGGGGTTAGTGGCGTAAGAATTTGGAATTAACTGACGAAACTGCAACGCACACACACACACACACACAAGTCACTGATGTAGCTTTAAATTGACACAACCCACGATTTGTACTAAAATAATAGTTATCTGAAACAGGAGTACGACACGAAGACAAAAAACTTTTGCAAATGCCGAACAATGAATACTCGTACATTTTCAGTATAAAAATTCTAAATATTCAGGAGGGAAATAACTTTGAATGCTTCTTTAGCTTAACCTAAGCCGTCGTATTCTACAAACATCGAGTGACTCAGTTTATAAGCCAGTAAAGTGTTAAAAAGGTAGAGCAATTTCTAATCCACATTTTCACAAATCGAACTCCGGCGATTAACTTTCGATACGACTTTTTGATGGTTCTGTCAACCACTACAAAGTTGCTTTGAAACGCATTTCTGCAAAATTGCAAAATTTAGCCGCCAAAGTCGGCTGTCGTTCGTTTGAAAGTGATATTGTAGGGGTCTTACCTAGTACTGTTAACGATTCACCGCTCACCGAAAACTTGACCTTGAGAAAAGTGACGCATTACCTGGAAGTGTGTCTTTAACTTGCCAGAAGTTAAATTGGTGTATCGACGGCAGATTTGCGTAGGTGTTAAGAGAACGGATGCACCTGAAAGCTTCATTTTACGCATTTTGAGGATTCCCGTGTTCAAATTTGAATTCTAACCAACTCAAAAGAGCCTCCCAAGCAAGCCATCCTTGTTTGGGAAGGCACCACGAATTTTTGAATGAGAAACTTGTTTCTAAAATTTCTCAAATCGTTCTAAGCTTACACGCCCACGGGTAGTCGGCTTAGTAATACGATTATGCAAGCGAGGGAATCATAAAACAACTTTACAAATTTACCAACATTAGAGCTTTCTCTGTGACATCTCAATCGTAAACTAATTTTGACAATCGGCCAGAAGGCAACTACTTTTAGATTGAAAGACATATTGCATTCCGATTTATGCAAAAAACAGTGAGGGCCATGCAGCCTAAATTATTTAGTTTATTTTGAGCTTCATGTGGTTTAATTAGTGTCATTTACTGCCTCGTTTTTCCAAATGGGTTCTGTGTGCCTTCCGTGATTCCCTTTACAAGAGAATTAACCACACAATTTCCCCCTAATTCGGAAATAAGATGAAGTGAAAATTCTGAAAGTTTTGAACGAACGCAAATATTTTTGGCACAACTATCTGATTCGTAAAAACAACCAGAAAATGTGTCGCTTTCTGCGGAAATCATTCCATGCAAAAACACTCATTTCTGAATTTGAAAGAAACGAATATTTGTAGCTACTAATCATTAAGTCGGCAACCACTTGTCATTTCCAGACGATGGTTGAGGCTAAAACGAGGGTCATGTCTGATGATTTCACCACACGTGATGAGTTCATCATGGGTCACGTGGAAGGAAGCGGCACATAAACTTGGCGAGCAGTAGTGGAACTCACGACAGTGTCTTCGGTTAGAGTTGCGAGGGGTGTGCGCAGGCAGATAGTTGTAAACCACTTTCAATAGGAGCTCTGTTCGTTCTATTAGTCATTCAGTTCATTGTGAGTGCAATGACTACTTCAAAAGGTGTGAGAATGTGATACGAATGACTGAAAACAAAACGCTAAACTACCTATCTCCTGTCAGAAATCTCTTCTCTGCACTAAAAAAGATGAAGTGACAAACCATGTCTCAGCGTACCATGGCTACTCTTCATCTCCTGAAACACCACGTTACCGAGGTGCAAGATCCCCGCGAGGATGGAGAAAATCAGGTCTTGTGTGGCCTCGTCAAGGCCCATGTCTTTCATCACTTTGACTGACGTCTTGAAGTCTTCGAGGTCGTCCATCGTGATGTCATGGAGAGGGCCATGTTCTATTTGCTTAACAAAGAGAAATGCGTCAGTTTGACACAGTACAAAACCCCAAAACCAATTGGAACAGTTAATCGCTTTAAGTCCCGATAAATCACACGTTGTGTGTTTTCGGAGAAAGCTCCAATTCTGCCATGGTTAGGCATTCCTCATTCTGGGTGGCATTACTCCTAGTAAAATACTTCACACCAATTTCTCACTTTAAAATTGACAGAATCTACAGCATTAATTCCAGTTCCTCTAGTGATTTAAATCGTTGTCTTGCGACAGAATATGATTTTATGTTCCACGTAATTTCAGGGTGTCTGGGAACTGCGCTAATTCTGACCTTCAGTAGCCAAACATTGGAATAAACCACGTGTGCAAACCCAAAGTGAGTTTGCTTCGAATCTTTACACCAAACTGCACTTAAACTTCCCAACAAGTAATTGGCTAGAAAATGATGGAACCAGGTGTAGACGTTTACCGCCTCACTGCCAAATCAAACATTCAATAACTTATTCAATATACGTTTAATGTGTTTATTTTAAATCTTGCTCTTGGTGTTTTACGCCGACAGAGAAGTGGGGTGAGTCGTTTTCAGGTCAGATAGTTTGAAAGGGTCTGAGAAATCACAAGATGGTGCCCAGCAACCAAGCAGTTGCATGCGTGTGAGAGAGAGAAGGAGATAAAACGGGTAAAATATGATGCACTCTTTCCCACCGTACCTTATTACGTCACTGAGTAGGAATGATTCAGGGCGTTCGCATGCTTAAGCTCTTAATACACACACATCATTTTTGACAACTCTGCTTCCCTTTTCCGATCATTAATTCATTCCGCCTTAGATTACTCAAACTAATTGTTGTGACATTGAAATAGTACAATATTCATAAAGCATTGTTTGATCCAAAAAATGACAGAATAGGAACCACCACTCACATCTTTGCTCAGACGATCCTTGGAAAGAGCGTCCCTGTTCTTTGGCTGAAGAAAATACCGCGTGCAACCACGGGAAAGGTACTAAATAAGGAAACAATCGCAAATTCATGCATTCGTGAACACATCTTGGTGAAAATTTTAAATCGACATTTCTCAATGGCTACAAACATGAAGGAGCACGCTCTATTATGGCTTTCCTGTTGACAACACTGTGGATGTTTCATCTACTTCCCATGCTTCTACTGATTTAAATAACCGATCTAGAAGTCGCTTGAGCGAGGGCAGAATTTAAGCAAGTGCAGACTTGAGAAAAGCGGTGTAACCTTAGATTTCTCAGCATGGACACCACTACAAAGGTGGGGGTCGTGTCATGTGAGCAGAACGTTTGTCGCCTACATCACGTTACACACGATGCTAGGGCACAGAGACTCAATGACGCAGCCTCTGCCGCGCTGGAAGGTCGAACCTGGCCTGCTGTGACTTGCAGAGTATGCTTTAGCCAAGTTGAACCTACCAGAAAGTCGTCGGGTGTGGTGAGACCGAACTTCTCCCGTTGCTCCGTCGAGGCACCGGCCAGAAGTTGGTAGAAGAAGTGGAAATTCCTCTCCTCTGCCGACTGCCTCACCAGACGGCCTTTCTCGAGGATGTAGTGCTCCAGTGAACCGCCGCAGACGGCCGCATTCTTATCGAAGGCGAGTTCAATAAACTTTCCGAATCGCGAAGAGTTATTATTTCGCATCGTCTTTGCATTCCCGAACGCCTCGAGCAGTGGATTAGCTACAAAGGGGCCCAAACGTGGTTTTTAATTACAGCGCATTCCTTCAAGCAGGATATTTCAAAGTCTAAGATGAGGCCACGTCTGCAGCTCATGCAAAATGCTGGCACTCGGTAGCATTCGAAATGATTCCGAGTGACCACGGCAAACTCATTTACTCATTAGGCGAGTATTTGAAAAAAAAATGCTTCTCTAATCCGCCTGGTGAGTCGTAAACAATACAGTTAAACAGCACATAAAATTTTCGACCTGATTGCTACTTTGGCAGGAAGACTACTCTGAGCCAGCACACCACAAAACCTGCCAAGTTACAAACTTCGGCACAACACGCAATGTTTGCAGAAGCCGTGCGGCTTATAAACCGTCGCTGGACTTTCCGTTTTCACAAAACGTTAAGTTGAGTCAGTTTTGGCTTGTGTAAAAGGCTTTTACAACCAATAAGCACGATTGGTCACTGAGCTCATACTGTCCACATGGAAAGCAACACCGGGGCCACATTTTGGTCGTTTGTCTGTAAAATGAAATGGCTTCAACGAGCGTTTGAGGAAGTTTCTCACCCTACAATCATCAAAAACTTTTAAATAGAAATTTGTGTTACTTGTGGATTTGTCTGCAGACAATGAACAGACAGCGTGTCGACTATCCGTTGAAGAGGCGTGACTTCGAGTTCACTTGAAGTAAGGTGTGTTCGACAACCTCGACATTGTATTGAAAAGTACATTTTCATGAAGAATACCCGCTGTCCACTTAATATCCGTCTCCAGGTTTACGTTTTACGGTAAATTATGGAATAACGAAGCTAACTTATTTACGGTTAAATTACAAATCATGTAGCTTGTATCAACTTGAACTCACAATCGATTATGCGTTTTTCAATGACCCCTGCATCAGCGCCATAGCCCTCTGTGAGGTATCGAAGGACGTGCTTGGTTGTCTCCGTTTTCCCGGCACCTGATTCGCCGCTCACAATAATTGCCTGGGACTCCTTCTGCATTTTCATATCTCGAAACGCCTTGTCAGCTGGGCAAAGAGTTGAAATTTGAATTTACTCGACTAAAGTGCTCCTAGGTGCATGGAACTTGAACACAAACACCAACAGTGCTTTAAAACGTAATTTGCACACAACTTGGGCCTGTCTTACATTATGACACCGCAGGACTCTGAGAATGACATTGTTCATGGCTTAGTTTTTCGAAATGGTGTGTTTTACAACTTTTTTTCCGGGATTCCTAGTTGCTATTTGGCATGCCAAACTGGGTGATGCTACCTAACTGCAGTAGGAATTTCCTTGGGATGAGATTTAAGCATTTAGTCGGCAGACGTCTAACATAACTACATTTACTACTAATATCTTGCAACACAAATTTTTCCATAGGGAAATAATAAATTCTTCATGTGCCTCCAAAATTCACAGTAATACAAGTTTCGATATGAGCATGGCATCTGTTCTAATCCAAGTGTAACTCACCGTCCCATCAACTAACTTTAGTAGCAGAGGGGTAATCCAGCATTTCTTTAATAATACATGTGAGCTGTGCAGAGTTCTACATGACAGTTAACATACCTTCCATCCCGTGTCTATGTTAATCTATTCTAGGATGTCACATATCAAAACGGAATATGTTGTTTGAAAATGTGAAAAACTACTATGGGTGGTAAACATTGAGCCTGTTAATGTGAAATTCAGAATGTTTGCAGCAATCATTTCTAACATTTTTCAATTCCAGTTTCCTCCAAATCAATTTACTTAGTTGAATTATTTTTGTGGCACTATGCAAGCACGTGTTGGATAAAGTAGATGTAAATGAGAGCGATTGGTAGACAGTATAGTTGAGCACAGCGTAGGTAATGAAATTCTAGTGTTTTTCATTAGATCGCCTTAAAATTAGGGATTTGCTGACGTTTAGCAGTTGCCACAGTTCACAGCCCTACACTTTGTGTGTAATTAAAAGCACAAAAATCTAAGGCTGACGCAAGAAACATCCTAGTGTTTTCATTTTTCGAAATACAACGTTGACATATTTGCATGGCATGAAAATTGAGTTAAATGGATTTGCTTATAAGAGAACGCTTAAGTGAAATGGCTAAATTCAGTTCATAGTTGGCACAGCATCAATTCTCCAAAAAAGTTTTTAAGGAATAAAATTCCTCAACTAATTGGTTACATTTTAGTTTTATCAATGTTTAAAATAACGTTATGCAAAATCGTAAAAGAATAAAGTAATTAAATAGCCAAAGGCTGTAGCGGTCGGTAGTTCGAGAACTAGTCACAGTTGTTGGAATGGAAAGGAATGAGTTTCTTACGATTGGGAAAACATAGAAGACTAGGAATCATTAAGTGGCAAATCACAAGAAGATTATTCTAAAATTAAACACTCACCAATAGCGAAAGGATGCGGTGGAAGTGTTCCAAGTGACTTTCCTTTGTACATCTCAATCATTTCACGTGAGTACAGTCCTTTGATTTCATAATATGGGTTCACTGCTATGAGTATATTGGCAACATAGGTCTGCATTGAAAAAAAATAATTTGCTGATGCATGTGAAACTATGAGAAGAATTAACGTGTTAGCTCAATAAATGTCAATTTGGCAGCAGACGTAGCGGCATGAATTGAGAAACAGTTTGACAATTCTCACAGTCACGTGATTCGCCATCAGTGCACTCGAGGTAAATGAAATAAAATTTAATTTAAACTCACATTAAATCCTGGTCATGTAAACAACGTGGCTTGATTACGTGAAAGGAACTGATTTGTAGTTCTCAAAATTAGTCGGAATACGCCAAAATGGGAACATTCAACGCAACAATACAGTTATTAATGTGCAAACATTTTTGTGTTGCAAAAAACCTTGAGTAACAGGGCTTTACTACTTAGACATTGGTGAAGAAAAGATGAGTGGATAGACAAAGCTCATCGTTAAACACCGTTAAGGTTTAGTCTAATTAAAAACAAAATACTTCCTCACCTTTAAATGGGAATATCGATAATGTAACAATCTGAGTAAAACATTTGGAAATCAGTGCTTGGCATGCCCTTACAAATTCTAAGACCAGTATATACTGCAAAACATATCAAGCAAGCAGATGTGCATGTAACTACCTTTGAAAACACCTCTTGCGCTTTATTTTAAGTTGGCAAATAATTATGAATTGATTAGCGAGATTAATGAGTGCACTTCTTGTGTAAGAAAGGTATAAACTTACGTAAATTTTATCTTTTAGGTACCGTTGTTTAACGTTCTCCAACAAAGTGGCTTCATTTAGGTTTATCAACGCACCTTTGAAAATGAAGCATGACAAGAAGCCCAACTTACAATTGTCATCAGGCAAATGCTCACGGGGCTCCACGAGACAAACCTCTTTTATCGGTATTTCAAGTGCCTGCAAACGGGAATATTTGTTGACACAAACCATTTGTATAAAACTATCCATTTTCTAAAATTATCCCGTCACAAAAAAATCTGATATAGTATAAACTTTCAAAAAATAACGAAAAAGAAAATCTTGTAAAGTCAGTTTTAAAATTGTATGTGATAAAACAATTAAATTCACGGTTGCTACACCCCTCTTATAAAAGTAAACATCTCAGGTTGGCACGTAATTGCATTTTATTTTAGATTAATAACAATATTTAAAAGTCAAAACCTAGGCCAACAAATTCCTAAATAATGATTACAAGTACATTTTGATTTAAGGATTTATAATGAGATTTAATATAGCAAAGTGAAACTAAACCAAAAACATCTACGAGATAAAAGATATGTATCAAACGTGTCTTAATCTAAACGAAATCGTAACAAAAAACAGAAATATAAATTTAGAAATTATACTTTAATAAAATAAACTACCTCAGCGTCACCATTAACAGGCTGGCACTTTGCTATACCATCTTTCACATTGATTATTGTGCCAAGTGAATACCCATCAGTCTCATTCGGCAGCCAACAATACCTATTTTCCATGACCCTAAACAGCAGTAATAATTTTCATGTGTGCCGCGGACGCTCAAATAGTAAATTAAAAGACGTCTTAGGTCATACTATAGACATGGTAAATGAGCCGTAAAAAGCTTAAAAATATTTTTTTAAATTTTATAGCAGGCACCTATGTCACACATTTGTTCATTTTCTGTCTTATTTGTGCAATGGACAGGAAATAATGAAAACGCATATGAGCGTCACGTGAGAGACTTGGTTTAAATTTTCAATTTACTTTAAACACCTCAGAGGTAAATATACAATTTAGCTTAATGTTATGTGACTAAAACCAGTAAATAGAATATTCTTCTATTTCTGAACACAATGTTTGTCCAAAACACATGTGTTACTACTTATTATTGCAGTTTAGAAAACGGGCCATTCATTAGAAACGGGGAAACCTTTCTATATCATATTGTTTCAATGTAATTTGTGTTTCGCAACGAAGCACATCACTTCTGCAAAAAAACTTCGTTTATTACGACCTCCGCCGCATTTATCTACCCAGCAGTTGATGTACAACGGTGCAGGAAAATTGAATTTGCTAACACTCTTAAGGACTTTCTTTAATAAGGTGGCAGCATACACCTGCCTTGCTTTTCTTTTACTCAAAAACTGATACACTTTAATTTCGATATTACGAAATAGAAATTGCACAAAGTTTATTAAACATAGTTAATAATTTTTAATACATATTTGAATTTTATAATGACTAAAAATTACGATCAAAGTAGTCAAATGAGTAAAATGATCACAAATGTAATTTTTTAGATTAGAAAATTTGCAGTATGTCAAATTTCCTCGTCCTGTGTTGTAATCGATTTAAAATTCTTATGATGTCCAATGAAAGCAATTTGTCTTTTGGCTAAGATTTATGGGCTTGCCATTTTTCGACACTAGTCTGAAAAATAAAAACGGGGCAAATTTGTTTAAGAAGACAAAGACTGTGTCGTTAAATAAGCACCGAAGCCTCAATCTGTCAATCTAAATCAAGTTATCATTCATTTAACAGGCTAAAAGCGAAAAAAGCGGGTTACTCCCATCTAACAAACTGTATTATTAAATGCATAATAATGCAAGTCGAATGACGCCTTAGATAATGGGACACCTTGCCTATTTAAAAAGAAAACTAAACTGAAAATTATATTAGAGCCTGATGGCCGTTAATGGATATGATACTCGTAAGTGATTTTGATTGCACGTTTCTGGCTGCAGAGCTATTTGTGCTTAATCATTAAAATGACAAGCAAACAAGTGACTAAAGTTATTGCCTTAAAATTAGCCTCGAAGCGTTAAAAACATTGACAGGACATATACTGCATTCTCACCTGCAATCAATTTTCGTGATTTGAATTATTGTTGCCACAATATGCAGTTTTCTTTGACCTTCCGCATTGTAGACAGTTTTCCCCTAGTAGGTTCAAAATTGTTGGGTGATTAAAATAGTTACGCTAAAGTGGGAGATCAACGACTTAGATTAAGTTTTTAAATTTGGTCTAATAGTAGGATAAGATGGACGGACGCTTAATATTTTAGCTTTACCATGATTTCACGTAAGATCTAACGATATGTTAATGAGTTTGTCAAATTAATGTTACCATAGGTCTGAATATCAACGTGAAAAATTAGCCTCCAAAAAGAAGCACTTTGGTATCAGATACTTTAACTGATGATCTTCTCCCGAAATGAATGTTGATTCAGTATATTTGAGTGGCATTGGTTGAATTTTAAAGCACTAGATGCTGAGGGTTACTTACTGAAACAGTGCCTTTTCTAGGTTTTCCTATATCCAATATAAGGTCAAAATAATTCCCAAACGTTATTATGAATCAGATAAAAAAATTGTCATTCGTCTGCAGATTATACCATGAATAATAAATGATGTAATTTGATAATAATTTATGCAAGTTGACGAACTTTGTTATTACATTTTACAATTACTTTTTTTATTAAAGTGAAATAAATATTTTATGCCTAATATACCTAGTCGCGACCTTAATTTGTTCAATAATTTTAATAACACAAATTTTGACGACTTGTTAGCTTGCACACTGCTTGATATGCCACTTTTTGCAATCGATAGGATTATGAATTTTGTCTTTGCAATTGACTTGCTCTACAACGTTTAATTCTAATGTTTATCATTTGCTGAATCCTGCCTTATTTGTTTATACTCATCACGATTTCAAAATTTATAGCGTGGCGGGACTTTTAGTTTCGATTTTGCTTTTTGTGCCTAAGTCTTAGGCCATTTTACTATCTGGACTAGTATTGCATCTTTCGAGACTATCTAATGGATTCCTCTGATGACGTGATCGAAGTCCCAATCGAAGTAGCTCAGGAGTACATCACCACTGCTCTCGGATTTGCTCCCCTTCACCTCTCCGATCTTAGTATGTCATAAAATCGAAATGCCCATTGTAGTCTATAATATATTTACGGATAGTCTGTGCAGTCTTGTCGAAAGTGCAGTTGGGGCCTTGTCTCGCAAAGTAATTCCCTCCAAATGGATGCTTGACAATTTAGTATGAAGACCGTCTTACTCAGGCAAATATTGATGCACTAATGAAGATGGTCAAAATTAAATTGCAGGGCCAGCAGAATGTTCTGTTTGATCAGCTAGATGTTCGTACATTTTAAAGTGACCTGTGTTTTTAGAGTTTTCTTATAAGTGACGTCTTTTTCATTGACGAAAATGCCGTTTTGATGGAGGATATGCCGCAGGTTTCCTACTCAAAGAAGAAACATGCCTTAATTAAGGCGAGTATCGAAAAACACGAAAAGAACATAATGATGGTATGTTGTGTTGCGGACTAAATTTGCGTGGTTTTTTGCTTATGTGAGGAACGCTTTCTATACATAACGTCGGATTCACTCAAATGTGTGTGCTACCTGAACTGGCTTACATCCCCGTTAGCTGAGAGTAATAACATGCAACAGTGGATAAGACCTTTTATTAGCGTCATGGCAGCCAAGTGTGTCTTGTGGTCGTGATTCTCGGTTATCAACAGCAATCACAGATCATTCGCCCTAGGTTTTCCCTTGACCAATCTTTACTCACTTGTGTGCACTGACAGGTCATTACACTTGCTTACGTTTTAGGATAATAACTTCCTGTTTGACATTCTTAGCCAATTGTGGTCCCAGTTTTTCATCTCTAACGACTCGGAATGTGCGGTTTATTGTGCCTTAATCTGTTTTCAGTATCCTTCTTTTAAATGTTATGCTCTTTAATGTGTTACTTGTATGTTCTTGGTTTTGCGTGCAGAGGTAACATGGATGTACACTGACTTTCATTGTGCTGTGGCGATTTAACTCAAGCATGAATGTGACTACAAAGTGGATTCTAATAACAAGCAGCTTGATTGTGTGGTCGTGCCTGGAGCACCTTACAAGTAGTGTGCGCTGTATGCGTGCATTTGCAATTTTAGATTAAACAGCTGAATGACCAAATAGACAAGGAGTTGGCCGACTTGAAAGTAGTGCATAATGACCTTGAAGCTGCCAAATCAGTTATTGAAGATGTTCTCGAAAAACGTTTCGGTGGAGCATCCAGTGAGTTTTTCCTTCTGTCTAATCTGTCATTTATTCAATTTACTGTCATTTCAAAGGAGTGCAATTGGCAATTAAGGAAGTAGTATCTTTAAAGTTAGTGGATAAAACAAAAATTTGTTTCAAATTAACTTCTCGCAAGGGGAGAAATTGCAAACGTCTATGATAAGTACAATTTCAAAAGGCAGTTTTTTTTAACATCCATGATTTATTTAAGGCTGTGTTTGGATGATTGAAAGTGTTTTGCATGGATGCCCTAGCTTCTCTCTTCTCAACCATTGCATAGTTCCGTTTTTGCACATTTATTGATTTTTTGGTGTGTACTTGTGGCCGCTAAATCATCATTGGTGCTGGGCTTGTTTTTGTGTGAAAGGAAAAGGTACCAGGAAGAGTTCGCATTCTGGTTTATCGTTTTAAGCCTGATAATTTCGTGACGAGAGCGTTTGAGTAAATTTCACCTACATACCTTGAGCTACATAATTTGAATTTTCTTTTTCATGATAAAAGGTTTCTGCCAAGCAATGGATGCGCTGAATGCCTTCAAGGAGAAAATTCGTCAATTTTACGAAACCACCGGCCGTGCTCTAACATAACGTGGTAGAATATACTACATATGATCGTCCGTTTTTTTAACACAGGTCTAATGTTCCCCATTTAGTTGTTATGAAACCTGTGTTTTTTTCTTGTACAGATGCGTATTTTGATTATGCATTTACTTGTTCCGACTTTTCATAAATAACCTTATCGCTGTGGTTCCTCACAGCAATGCTCACCTCCCACTCTGTAAATGGGGTCTTGATTCAGGTCATACTGGGGCCAGTCCTCATTACTTTGGAAGCCTGGTTTCCGCAAAAATTGGCTGGAAGGTAAACCTGTGCGTGGTAGAATTACAGCATGATAGAAATCACTCCTTTTTGAGTTAATTTCCATGCTAGTACTGGCTATTTCAGATTTGAGGGAAGATTTGCGCAATCCGGAGCCTTTTAGCTGAAACGTCGGCTGTGGTGCTTCGCACACTTGCACAACATGCCAATGGATTAGTGCTTGTTAGTATCAAAGATTCTCCTTTCAAATTATGCATGTATGAATTATCGGAAACCTTGTCTCACTTTGTTGTGTTCAAAACTGGGAGCAGGAAAATTAGCTGAAACAGTTAAATGGGACACGACGATTGGAATAGGCATGCGTCGTACAGTTGTTAGTTCCCCAGGAAGCTAACGAATTCGAAATGTTTTCGAGACCGGCGTAACTGCGAGAGCGTTCTGCGTTCACCCAGGGCGAGATTTGTATGTTATCATGATTGAAGTGGCAATGACTCATTAAACAGTGAGAGTCGGGGAAGATGCATTGTTGAAGAGAACGAAAACTTTCCGATCAACGTTAATTTGGTTTTTTAAGTCGCGGTTTTGTTCTCATCCTATAAAATGCAGCCGAAACAGTGTAAAAATAACTAGTCAAATATACTTACATTAGCGGAGTTGGAAACATTTCCCGAGTCGTAAAAATAGGGGGATTGGGACTCGGGAGTACTTTGACACAAACATGAAGCGCAGCAAACGACAATAACCGCATTGCGTGGGAATTTTGTGTGTGCGATTTTAAATCTAATCACTGGACTGTGCGCCTTTAGGGAGATAAATCTGACATGTGTGTGAAATTCGTTGTTTGTTTCAATTACCGAACCGTTTCCTGGGAACTACAGTTCATTGTGCCCGAGTGGTAGCTAAATTGGGGTGAAATGAAAATGGGACACGAGTTGGTTTTTACTGACCAGCAGTAAGCTCCGTGAAGCAAGCGGATTTCAACAAAAATAGTACTTATTCGCAATTAGTAATGATAGACGAATGTCCCTGTTCCCGCACTCCAACTGCGGTTTTTTAATAGGTCAAAAACGGCGCGGTAATTAAACGAAACCACCAGTTTCACACGCACTCCACATTTACTTCCATCAAGGCGCGCATGTGACCCAAATTCAAGCAGCCTCCGTGATTAGATTTAAAATCACACCAGAGAGAGAGAGAGATCCCCACGTGCCCTGTACTCCGAATCTGAATGCTCGGTCAGTGTCTCCAATCCTGCTAGCGTAGGTGCATTCAGCACACAGACGCGAAATTGTCTCTAATTGTCTCTACAACATGTGCATTTCGCACTGTGCGAGCATGGCCCTCCACCTTCACAAGATGGTACCATCGAGAGAGTGAAATACTCATCAACACAAGCGCGTGGAAGTCCGTGACCGGGCACTTGGTCGAAACTGGTTTGAATGAGGTGATCTTGTGTGACTTCACAGCGCGTATGGCTGTGTCTTTCACTGTGCTGTAGCATCGCAGTCCATCGAAACTGCTGCTGGCTGTCTCGGGAAACAACAACGACGCTAGTGCGTAAATCTGTGAAATATCAATTTAGTTCCAAAGATGCTTTATGAATCAGAGTGTTTTGTAGCGGATTAACAGCGATCGCGCCTAAGTGAACTCGGGTTACCGACCTGACGGTGACAATGACTCATCCCCTATTCATTGGTTACTGTTACCCGTTCACTCATCCGCACACTTGGCTCGCGTGCCGCCAATAAACCGTCGTGTCCTCTGTTACCTCTTTTCCACTCTCCTCGGATTGTTTCGGGCTGTTGACTAGAGGGTTGTAAAGTAGTGCTAGATCCCAGCCACTACAGTTTTATCCTATTGTGCCTACTAACAAAACGAATTTAGCCACACGTCGATGCAAAATTTTTAACTGATTGTGCTTGTTTGGCTAACGGTTCAGTGGATTTGAGAAGTGAGTAGTAATAGTTGATGCTACAGCCCCCGACTTATTGTGTTTGAATACCAATGAGAAATGCCTAGTATCTGGATGACCCCATAGCCATCATCAGTAGAAGTCGTTCGATAACACGGATTTACTTGAAGAAGTGGTCATTCTCTAGAGATTTTCTGAAATAGCAGAGTCCTTCCTACAAGACCACAGCTAAGTCAAGGTGGTCTTTGATAAAAATCATCCTTGGGACATAAATCGCTAGAAACTAAACCTTCGCTTGGCCTATTTTTCTTTTAGGTCGTTTATGTAATATTCTTACTTACCCATGTCGTGAATCTGTTTGTTCAACCCCCTAGTCCGGTCGCTCCACCTCCGACACAGGGTTTTACCTTGTCGCAGCATGTCGCCAGCCGCTCGATTCCTCAACTCCCCCCTCATTCACACGAATGTTTATCTTGGATTATTTTAACACCTAGGTCTCGACGTTAGCGCAAGTATGACTCACACATCCGAGGTGTAAATACTCACGCGCAAACCCCACACACGACACCAACACGGTGAAGCTCTGAAGCAAACGGTTGTGTCCACGTCCTCTCTCCAGTCTTTTTTTTCATCGCGGGTATCAGGGAAGAGTAAACGGGCCAAGGTTGATTCCCTGGACCCGGCGTGGTTCAAGATCACATGCTGGGGCCCACAACGCCCTCTTGGCCGAACCTGGTTTACATTCCTCACATTGCTCCTGGTAGAGTAATTTTATGAAGGAGGTAAAATATTAAAATTGAAATGGAAATTCACTTGCGATTGTGGTTAGATAATTTCCAGGCCCAAGTATTGCTGTTCGGTAGATAATATCGGCTGCTACAGTTCCAAATATTCGCCAATGACTAATGTCATTAGGGGGCACCTCTGTTTTTTAACAACACGTGACAGGAACCACCTTCGCAGTGACTCGAGTTGTCGAACTCATTAACTCAAGCCCCTCTCCGTGAAGCCACGAATTTAATCGCCACCGACACAGATAGTGTCCGACAGTCATAGCTTTTGACTTTCCTGATGAAAGTAACTCACTGCGAGAGCGTCAGTTACGGCTTGAAGTTGTATTGCATTAAAAATTTCCATGAGGACAATAGAATGGCAACCTAACTTCCTTCTGCGCATCCTTCTGCCCTTTCTGCTCATCTTGCAGTCAGTAATGCCCAATGCTTCCACTTCAGACTTCCCCACTTCCAACCACAAGATTGGTCTACACGCTCCTGAGCTGGCGAGTGTGGTCTTCGAAACGGCAAAACCACCAACAAAACCGAAAGCCAATAGAAGCAGATGCCTTGTAACTCCACTTCTTATTAAATGACACCCCGTTCCGCTATAAACAGGTTGTTCTAGGTGGCCTCTTGGTGCGGCACATATCATGAGATCAATTTAGCCAATCCCTTTCCCAATCCCTTTAGCCAATCCCCTTTCGCATCCGTTTGCCATTCATTAAGCTGAAAATAAACACCACAATACTGAATGCTTAAGCATAAGTTTTCAACCAAAAGATGACTTGGGAAATCAGTTGCCTGAGTTGCATTAAATTACAAAAAAATTGTACACTCTGTGGATTTGGGTGGTGATTTGTGCTAGAATCTTTAAGACTGTAGGAGATAAACTCATTTGAGTATACAAGAACAGGAGCTGAAGTCTTTCATATGTACACTTTGATAAACACAACAACTTTTACGATACTGTCAAAGCCATAGACAATAATGCTATCTGACCTAAGGTACCTATTAAGAGCTGTAATTGATCTATCGACGTTATCCCTTAATTCGATTTACCATGACTCAGCCCATGGTTGATTGGAAATGCAATTTACGAGGTGGTGATCCATGGCAAATAAGCAATCAAAATATGTTGAAACGTGCGCGCGCCAGACTTAGACTATTTTAGGTAACTAAACAGATTTTAAATTAACCAAATCTTCTCAAATAGCTCCCTAAGACGATCATCTCTGCCTTACCGAATTGCTTGTGATAATAGAAAAGACCTTATTAACATCCTAAACTTAAAGTTGTGTGAACAGCCAAAGTTATGACTTGTCGACGCCATAAAACAAGCCTACGTTTTTCACTTGGTTGACTCACTCAATCCGCTTGCGCTATCCCGGGTCTAATCAAGCTTTTTTGAAATACTTGAGTGATTCTGTTCACTAACATTGGATTGTATTTTGATGAACAGACGTACAGACAATTTAAGAAGCAATTTGTACAGTCGCATTACTCCTGGAAATGATGTTGAGCGTTTCTGTCTGTGGGTTATTTTCATTTTTATAAGTGGTTAGATCGAGTGTTACAAGGAAAGGTCATTCACAAAGTACACAACTCCTCATTTCGTTGCAAATTATGCCCAAGTGTATGCAGACAATAAAACGTAGATCGTGGAAGCACAGAGACGCAAATGCAATGCTATATCAGAGCCACCTCTCAGTAGCGATGGTTGGTCCACGCTCTTTGTAGGCTTCCCTGGTAATACACACCTTTGAGTAGGTCTGGGTAGAGGCGATTATTGTCCCACCAACCCAAACTGCATCTGTTTCCTTCTTGTGCTTCACCACTCTCTTGTTAATCAGCGGCACCGTCCGCGTCGCGATTCCCAGCTGCATTCTGGACGCGGTTCCAGGAAAAACGCAGTTCCCGCCAGCCAAAACAACCGTCTCCAGGACTGCGTAGGAGTCGTTCTCGTCCAGGCTCAAGGCCGACTTGATCGCGGCCTGATCGATTGGCATGACGTCGGGCAGTCCGCCCAGACTCGGATTGAAGAGCATCTCAGGTGCCAGCAGCAACTCCTCTCCCATCGCGATTCTATTCCCATCGGGCATTACAATTAACGATCTATGCACATCACCCGATTTCGGGAAATGCGAGCCTACGGAACAGTAATTAACCTTAACATGCCGCAGATCCGCTTCATTGTAGGCGTTCAGTTTGCTGCCCGTTAGGTGTCTCAAATATCGGTCGATGTTTCTGCCGCCTAGGGGGAGAACTCTCTCACTTTCTTGCAAGGGGTAGAGGTTTTTGACTGCCAAAATACCCGTGTTTGAGTAGCCAGAATCAACCACTAGACAGTTGAAGTAGCCAGACGAGTAGGCGGCCAGTAACGGCTGACTGACATAAAAGACGGACTTAAAGTTGAATCCCTCGAAGAGTTCCTCAGTTAGTCGTTGGCGATATTCTTCTGACATTTTCTGAGGGACGGAGAGAAGCAGGTGCGACGATCTCGGGTCCACCTTGAGATGTGAGGCAGCCTTTCTGATGTGTTTAGCAAAGTAGTTGACGGCATGGTTTGTAGACTTAAATTCAAGCACCACACCATTCTGGACTACTTCCGTCTGAAAAAAAATTTCGGACCACAAACCATGAATGATCGCTTAACCTGCAATCAGACCAACATAGGCGTCATTTCGAACCCGAATCCTACTGAGATTGACAAATATCCTAATTTTACCGATACGAATCGATTGTTTTTTTGTCGTCATTATTAAAGGGTGCAACCGAAATTATGGAAGTGAAATTTTAAACGTCAATTGATTCGTGTTAGAAAAAGCAAACCTCGTGTGCTGTTTTTGAGGCTGCCTCTTTTTAACTAACAAAGCAACAAACTTGCTTAAATTTGTGTGGTACAAGCACCAGGGGAACTCGTTTAGCTGGGCGTCAGTTGTTTTGCTCGTAAAAAAACTACTAATTTTTTGATACCATGGATTGGTAACATGGCTATCTGTGTTCTTTACGCCCTGAGCAATCACTTTGATTTTCAGCAAAGCAGGGGGTCAGATTTATGTTATGAGATATAGAAATTATAGCAATTTAAAGCCGGACATTTAAGTGAAAATGAGAGCTGAATCTATATATATTTTCGTCCTTACGTGAGTTTCGGTTCGGTTGTGTGTGTGTGTGTAAGTCTGTAATAAACAGTGGCACATCACAGCTTGGTAGCATGTGCTTTAAATAACTCATCCAATATCTTGCTTTGCTAACAGTCACGGATGACTCAAGTGTGTTCCAATTGTGCACAAGTGCACAAACATAACTCATGCTCGTTGATGTGCAACGAAATTAGTCAGGTTAGGCTCGACGAGTTGAAGAAATTTGGCATTATAGCGCAATCAGACAAAGTTGGTAATAACGCTGTAAAGAAACCACCTCACACACCCAAGATCAGCGTGGGTGTCAGCGGTAGTATTTTATGGTAGATCAGTTTTGTAAACGTGGTTTTTTTTATTTTCAAAATTGGAAACTCTAACTTATGATGAATCATTTTTCAAAAAAATGGTGTCATGTAAATGTGGCACAAAATAGCCCAGACTTACACCCTCCAATTCCTGAACAGACGGAACGATGCGCGCCGTGGGCGAATTCGCGCTGGCAAATCCAACTCGCCATTCCTGTGTGCCGGAGTCGATTACAATCCGTGTTTCAGGATCTCCCATTTGCTCAGAAGCAGAGTGTAAATTCTCTAACGCAGGTGAGCCTAAGTCTGAAACTGTTGTTTGAGAAACGCTGTATTACTCGATTGCGCGGCACTTGTGTAACCAATCAGCACTCTGGCGACCTTGCACATGTTTGGTGAAGGACATCGTTGTGGTTATAGCACCCACTACGGTAATTGGGGCTCTGTGCTCACGTGACGACAAAGCAAGCTCACATTTCGTGCACCAATTAGTGTACAGCATTTCAAACACAACACTCCATGTTTCCTTGTTGATAAAATGAACCCCCTTCGAGCCTGTGGCCTTGAAACAACTTCCCTTAAATGTATTCTGGTAGCCTCTGCTTAATTCATGTAATGTGCTATGTTCTTAGTTTCTTTAACAGCAAGCGAATCCTATTAAGGGACGTCGTGTTGCAAATGATGGTCCACCTACTAATTTGCTCTTATTATGTTAGTGCATGTTTGGTTTGACATTACTGCTTATTAGCTCAATTTGTGTATGTAATATTTAAACCAAGTCTATGTGTTGTTTGTAGACGATTGCACGCGTTACATTTTTAATGCTTATCATGTAAATAGATGTCAGCTAAGGACTTACAAGTAATGTAGAATTAATTTGTCTATGGAAAAAGGATTTAGCTTGACTACACACCCTCTGCAGTTGTTGAGGTAAGTCGTGACATGGCAACCCCAAATGAATTTAGAGTTAATTGTGCATTTCCTTGAAAGACTTTCGTTTAAAATAAACTGCCACCAAGGGTGCAACCAATGTGATTAACTTGGATGCACTTGGCCTGACGGAGAGCTCTGGCTTGTGGATGTTTAGAAACACTGCTATGTTGTATCTGTATTCTTCATTCAAGGGTTCAAGTGTTTAACAACAAAATAAATTTGCCAGAAAAATTTGTCTAGTTAAGCAGGATCACTAAAATAACAAGTCTATGTTATAATTATACATGACACACAATTATATGTGGCATAAGAGATTATTTTACGCAGATGTTACAAGCTGATAAGTGTAAGGAAACCACACCAGGGCCGACGATCTGCACAGACAAGGCCCGACGGAACGAAGAGTAGAATTGCCAAAGGTGCGTAGCTCGATTAATTTGTTCTAGCAGTAATGGCGGGTGTGTACAAGATAACAAGTCAGTATACATAGCCCTGATAAACATCGATGCCTGAACGAACACAGTTACGTGAAATGTGTATAGGAAACCAATTGAATCATGTTCACTCACGATTGCTGCGTTCGATTGATGCTCACCACACGAGAACTGGGTGGCAGTTTTTGGGTTAGGATAATTTGAAATCACAAATGGCTGGTTTCATTTCATGTTCAATGGGTGGAATCCTTATAAAAATTTTGAATTTAAATAAATGTTGATATCTAGTTACTGGACAGGACGTGAACGTCAGTAGCTCCTGACGTCCTCAGTCAAAAACATCATGCGCAACGTTTATTTTTCACGTGGTTAATAATATTAAGTGGAAATTCCAAACGTGATATGCCATTTAATGAGACATGTACATTTTAAGTGATAACAAAGTGACATTTTATTGAAAAATATTATTTTGCAGATATAATAAATGCCACATTAACCTGAGACCAAAATTTTAATAGAGACAATTAAAGATGTCAAGATGATTATTAACATAAGAAAACTCCTGTCTAAGCTAGAAATACCATTGGCGGTTTAAATTAGAGCCATGAAGTCCCAGGTCACGACTTTTAGATTGACTGCTCAAGGTTCTGGAGAACAAAAGAAAGTAAATCATCTCATTTTTAAAACCATATACCTAAAAAGAGTAATCGCTACATTTCGTGCGTGAAAAAAAATACCTAAATGCTGATTTGGCGAGCATTAATATATTGTAAATTTTTCTATGGTACGTTTTAATCAAGATCTATTATGCGTTGGTTAAAAAAGCAAGAATTCACATTTTTGTATGACGGTATAGTTTTGTGCATTAAACGTTACTAAAGATGTAATTCTACAACGGAATCGTTAAGATGTTCAATGAAAGCCTGATTTGAAAGAATAAGGTTTTTCCTTTTTCTTTGCCTAACTATATGATGACATTTGTTTAAAAAAATTTAAATTTTGTCAAAAAATAATTATTTAACTAAGTGAAATAACCCATAATTTTGCTTATCATGATGCTGCGCTTGTTTGGTCGGGTGTCGAATAAAACCGCTTCGTGTATTCTACCCACTCTGCTGACTTGGTGTTTGTTCGTCTCTGATTTCCGCAATATTTTTTGAAGTGCTTTTTAGTACAATGCAAGTAGGTATTCTCTGATGTAGATTTTACGCGAAAGGCCGTTTGGTAATTGCTCGCTAATGTTTACGAACGTGGACTTTCTGAATAGTCTTTAGATTACTGTGACCTTAGGATTTTGTGAACTTAGTTCTTAATTTTTAATAAAAGTATTTTATGCACGGATTTTTTAAGGTCACTTTTAATACTTATGTTCTTAGGCTAGCTTGTCCTCGAATAAGTAATAGTTGGTAAATAAAAAATTTCAAAACGCTAATATAACAACAAGACTTATCTGTGCATTTTTTGGTTAAGGATGACTACAAGTGTAAAAAATTGTGGTCGATTTGTGAGAAGAAACGGCAACAGCAATCGCTTCACTATTTACAATCTTTTTAGGCTTTTTATAGGCTGTCATGAAGCATGATGTATTATATTTTAAATGCTTGAGTAATTGTTTCTTTGGAAAATTCTTCCGACATCACGAACTCCTGTTTGACGTTTCATATTCACAGTCGTTTATAAAATTGGTTGGGTTTTTCTGTCGTATTATTATTCCCGCTTTTTACTTTAACCGTGTTTGCTTCCTATAGCTTTAAAAAGGGAGACTCTTTTGCCAACGTTTGACTCTTTAAATTCTAGTTTTGCATCTGAACTACACGCTGTGCACAGGACATCTATGGCTAAACGAAGGAAAGAACGATTTACTCAAAAAGGTAGCTAAAATATTTTGCTTATTTCATGAATCATAGATGGGGTCCTCATCCAGGGCTTTCCGAAGGTAGCGTCGAATTTTATCGTCATTCCTTCGTCTAGGGTTTGCACAATCAGGGCAACACCTGCTATTTTAACGCAATTCTCCAGTGCCTGTGTCGAGTTTCTGGCCTTAAAGCCCTTGTCGATCATTTTTTAACTAGCGAAACCCGCGCTGTGCTAAAGCGTTCAACGGACAAGGTAGGTTACCTGATTAGTTTTAAATGTTACGTGTGAATGAACGCGTTTTTGCTATAAAGCTGAACGACAACTTTTGTAGTCTGCTTGGTTGTCGAGCGTCCAATGGGAAACTAGTATCTGTCCAAGTCAACTTATAGTCCTTTGAAGAGCCAGACCAAACCCTGAGATTCATCTCCTACAACTACCAACCTTTTTTTTCTGTAGTCAGTTTATGCTGTGTAAGCGCCTTCAGTCTGAGGTCAATTGAAAGCTCAGATTAGCTGCTGCTAATGCTAAGGGGTGTCGTTTAGTGTTTTGTTTGGTCAAGTCGCATACTTACTGTGAACTCATTTTAATTATTAATGTGCACATGGTCACCGAAAACAAATGTCATGGTACAGGCAGTCATCAGTTTACTAGGTACATATGAGCGTCTGATTTCGCTATTGTTTAAGGGTGATGTCCATTCGCTGGACCTCTATCTTCCCCGACTCAATGCGCCACTATCTACTGCGTACACTGCCTTCGCTGAGGAATTGTTTGGGTCCCAAAACACTCGGCCCTCGATAACTCCAGAGGTAGGCCATTTTTCCTCCTAACGCCAGGCGAAATGACAAACTATTAATGCAAATGTGGCAATTTGCTCCCTCCTAGATGCTACGGGCTGCATTGGTGAAGCAGTACCCGCGCTTCGGCGATTTCGGCCAGCACGACAGCCACGAGGTGCTGAGGTGCCTTCTTGACGGCTTGCGGCAGGATGAGCTCAAACTCTGGCAGAGGGCCATCCTCAATAAACTGCACGTCGATGCCCAGGTACACCATCCCAATAGCCCCATTTTTCTATGGTGTCATAAGCACTTCTATCTGAAAAGAACCAGATATTTGTTACTGTTTCAACTCATGTTACTGGGAAGGATCGTAAGACTCCCGGAGCCAGTTGTTTATACCAAAGTCTTTTTTTTCTACAAGTAGTGCAAAACAGTCTACAGTTGACTGTCAATTTATTTTCATGTGTATTAACTAAATTAAGACCGATTTATTTCAGGTCAAAGTGCTCGGTTATGTTAAAGACACGTCTAATCTGTCCGTGTCCGTTTTTTAATCACGGCTGTCAGAATGCAATCGGGCTAATTACTTACTTACACACACACACACACTACTCTTAGCGTGAGTCCAAAGTGATGCAAGCTAATTTTATTTCGACTTCAAATAGACGCAACTTACAATTGATGTCACCAGTCTTGCCGAAATAAACGCACATTGCGCGTTCTAAGCCTGCCGCATTGCCTCACGTAAACCCGAACCTTCTCTTTTATTTCATTATGTTATTTCGGTCTTGTTCGAATTTCGCGTGAACTCCGCACCAATAGGAGACGTGGTTTTACGAAGTGGCAGTTTAACGAGAATGACAAGCGAATCGATGCGCATAGCATGGATCAAAATTCATGAATACCTTTTTTTAAGACACCAGTATCCAATCGCTAACAGTGGTAAGTAAAAATGGCAAGTGTTAAAAAAGAAAGACACTCTAGAATGCGTGCGAAAAGGTACTCAACTAAATTTGTTCTTCGATTGTTGCGATGTTGTTCTGCTATTCCCTAGGATGAATTACCTTTACGTAGATAGAGACCTTTGCGAATTGATCTTGCCACCGTTCCTTTCTAGAGTTTTCTGAAATTCTGGAAACACTTGTATTACATTCAGACTCTAGCTGTTTGCATTAACTTGACCCCCAAATGTCCACAATGTATCAATTTTTTGAACACAATGAAGCTCTGGTTCATGAGAATGTTGTCGGCCCCAGCATGTGGTCCTGAACCACGCCGGGGCCACGGAATTAACCCTGGCCCGATTACGTTTTCCTGAATCCCATGCTAAGGAAAAAGATCGAAGAGGACGGGCCACAACCGTTTACTTGAGAGCTCAACCTCGTTGGTGTCGTTGTGTCACGTGTGTGGGTTCACGTGTGTGTGGTTACACCTCGGATGAGTCATACAGCCGCTAACATCGAGACCCAAACGTGACGATAATCCATGGTAATCATTCGCGCTAATGAGGGGGGAGTTGAGGCTCCGCGCGGCCGTCGACATGCTGCGAAAAGGTTAACCCTGTGTCGGAGGTGGAGCGACCGGATTAAGGGGTGTGAATAACCACGATTCACAACAAGAACTTGAAGGGTCAACATTCAGATAGCAAGTTGAATCACTTCCTGTTCCGGGGGCTGATTTCGTCGGAATTTTGGCCTAGTCTGCACAAAGTAACGCCTCGCGGATAAGCAGGCTTAGTGGCCATCCCAACTGTAGCACCATTCTAACGCCAACTTACTTACCGATGGCTTGACCTGTTTCTGTCATGAAATAAATGTGTTGCCAAAACGGTTTATTTGTGTAAATGTAGCCTATTCTAAGTTAGTAATGCCATTCCAAAGATATCATGCATAGAACCAAGAGAAGCTCATATATACCCAATTCAATCTTTAATATCGAAACTGCATGTTCATGTGTCAAGGGACTGGACAGCATTATCCAGAATTTTGAGCCCTACTTTCCGTCTGCTCGCAACTACCACAGACTCTAACTGTTTTGGCTTCACAGGCAGCCGGCGAGGTGAAGACGGATGTGCGGTCTTGGGGCAGGTCCACCGGCCTCTCCACCTCCGTTGACAGGGTCTTCGGCGGCCTCCTGCTCACCTCCTTTACGTGCAACGAGTGCGAGAGCACCACACAGCACTTTGAGGTCTTCCTGGACCTCTCTCTCCCCATCCTCATAGACGGTGAGACAGGCGACGACGTGCTGCTCCACGGGTCGTACAAGGCTCCGCGTGACTACGGAGGTACCTGTTTTAGTCCTCATGCTAACTGATCGTTTGATTCGAAAGACAACACCGTGTTAACCTCACGTAATTGAATTCATGGTCTATTCCATATGCAGTTTAGTGTTATTTTAATTGTAATTGGTTTTCGCCCTTCAATTCTTCGCGATGAACCTCTTTTTCTTCATGTTGTCATTCTCAATTAAAATGCCACGGTGTGGAGAAAATGGTAGTTAATGTGTGCTTTAGTGGTTGCACAGTGCGTCTGAAAATCGTTAGGTCGGCTTAACCCGTTGTTGTGTGTAATAACGTCGCTCCTTTGATCTTGTCTGCCTGGCTCCTACAAGGTGTCAAAAGGGTTTTCCGATGAGACAAGTACTTTAGTCACAGGCTTCTCGCAAAATTAAGTCATCTCTTGGAAACCCCGTCGTTATTCATAACATGAGTAGTGCAGTGCTCCAGTTAAGGTCTTCGCTATACGCGGTGCTTCATGAGATTCAAACCTGCCCGCAACTCTCTGCTTGCGTTTCACCTCCGAACACGCACAGCACCTGCATGTTACACCAGGTTGACGCCCTGATTTGACCTGGTCTCGTTGTCAGCCCTCTGTTAAGCAGCCAAAAACTCGACCTGACCTTTGAACTTCCACCTTGACATGACGTGTCGATTGCATGTTCACATTGTACTCAGCCTTAGTTGTGGTGATCTTGGACTCTGAAGGCAATTTGCCTCAACATTTTGTCGAGTAGTTTTGTGCCACGAGGTCTGGCAATCGTTAGGCACCTCGTTTGTGGAAGTAGTAGTAGATACGTGGTTTTTGCCGCGCTAATACTATGCTATCCTTTTAGATAACCTGCCCAAATCTAAGCGAGAACTGAAAAGAGAGGTTTGTTTTGATATTTTTTTTTTAAATCCTAACATAATTTATCGCCAGTGGGGTGGTGGCGGGAATCAGAAGGTGCTCTTTTTTGACCTGCGACTGTCCCCATCACTTAGTTGCTGTATTGATGTTGTTTCCGCCTGAAATCTTGTCTCGTAGGCAGTTGATTGCAAAATGACCCTCCCCCCTTGTTGAGAGTTGCATGCGAGCCTTAGATGCGTTTAGGTGACTGTAAACCGAATCACCTTTCCAACTGGAGATGATATTATCAGTCGGTGCAAATTTGCGGAGTCATTTATCTGAATGGGTTGAAGCAGGCTAGGCTGTGCCATCCCTTTTGTCACTCACACTGCCGTGTTTTTTTTGCAGCGCAGAGCAAAGAAAAATAGGGGCAAGCTATGGCAATTGGGCATCCCCGTCGACGACGAAGTGGACGATGAGCCAAACGGCGGTGATGAAGACGTAAGTGGAGTGCTGTTCAGGGGGAACGTGTACCACCAGTTTTGTGACGTGAAATTAACTTGCTCAGCTCGAGGTAATGTAAAGTGCATAGAAGTCTTACCTCTTCCACCACGAAAACCCCAAACTTGCTGATCAACTAGAGGCGTTTTAGAACTGTGCCCTAGGCTGTGAACTCAGCTTTCGGGCTCCATATGAGGGTCAATGCCTTTGTCGTCAAGCTGTTTCGAATGTTTGAAAACGCGGGGAAGTCGAACAAATGATCGGCTCGCACAGCCCCTATTTGTTGTAGCACATTGCCGCCTCTTGTTTTCCACCTTTAGATTCATCCAAAGAAAGGCGATTTGCGAACGAAGCGTAAAGGCAGATACAGTAATAAATTTCGTCTGCCTTCCGAAGACGAGGAAGAAAATTCTGGCAAGGAGGGGGAAGAGGAGAAGCAGGAGGAGGATCAGGATCAGTGTCTTAATGGTGAAACTGCTGGAAATACGGCGAACGGTGAAGCGGACACGGAAATCGGGGGTGCTTCAAGTGATGCCTCTTTTGGCTCCTTGTCCTCAGAGGAGCCGCTCGAAAACTGCACCAACGGTGCCTTGTCTGAAACAGCAGACAACAATGAGGCCGATTCTTGCCAAATTGTGGCAGAAAACGGCATCAGCTGTAACGGTGAGGTGCCAAGGGAAGCAACTGGCGAGTCTGATGTCGTTTCAGTTGGACTTACCACCGCTGAGAAGTCATCAAATCTTTCGCTAAATGGTACGCTCTTCAAGTGCTCTATCCACCTTAACTCAGGCCTCAAATTTCGACAAAATTTTAGTGCTTTTTAAGAAAGCGCTACACCATTCCGCTTAGAGGCTGTTTTTAATTATGTCCTGCCAGATAAACATAGAAAAGATGGTTCTTATCAGTAGATAAGATGTAAAGAGACGGTAAATGCAAAACTTTGAAGGGAACAGAAATTATGGGCTATCGATTCCCGAGTCTAGCGTTCCTTTAAACTTCGTAGCTTTGGGTCGGTTATGCCAAAGTGCTCGCGACTCGCACTTGTTTATGCTAAAATAAAACTACAGTGGCCTGCACCTAGATTAACGGCTACGCAATCGCGCGTCATTTGTGTGTGTGCGTGTGTGTTACGTAAATTTCGCACTTGTGGTGCCACAAATGTGCAGGCATAAACAACTACCACGCACTGTTTAGTGGCGGTGGTCCACTGCGGTCATTTTTGCCCTTCCCCCGACCCTAGGAGCCTCGGCAGACGTCGAGGACAACGAGGGCGGAGGCCTCTCCGACAGCTCGGCGCCGACGCCGCCCGCCGACGTGAACAACAGCCTGGCAAACGACCTCTCCACGAAACTGCACATCTCCCCGGCCGGATTCACCACTTCCATCGCGCAGCCAAGCGAAGAGGAGAGGGCCAGGGCCGTGTCTCAGAAGCCCATCCTGCAAGCGCCCCCACCGTCTACTCTCACCGACTTGGAGCGATGCCTTCTTGCTTACACCGATGCCACGAAGATGAATGGCCTCAACCAAGTCGTCTGTGAGGTGTGCTCCAAGCGATCGGGCTTTGACAATGTTTTGCGCGACACTGTCAAGCGTGATCTCATCATCCGACCTCCTGCAGTGCTAACCCTGCATCTCAAGCGTTTCCAACAAGTACATACGCCAAATTTGTTAAATCTGCCTTTTCTAATTTGCCTTGACGTAATTTTTGCAAAGTGTTCAGTAAACTTTTCTTTAAAATGGAAAATAGCGAGCAGCGAACTTTGCCTTGGAAGCATTGCCCATTGTTTTTTTATGACCTCGCGCCATCTCTCAGGTAACGTACGAATGCCGTTGCGAAAGAAACTTCCATTCCTTGTGGTAATAAAGTCATCAGCGAATTTACGCACACCGTCCAGCGTTTCCACAAAGGTGTTCTGAATTGACCGCGTGTATTGGAGAACTTGCCATTCCAAGTTGAAGGAGGTCTTTTGAGTCGCAACGTGAAGTGGTCGAGCGTTGTTATGAATCAGCCCAGTAAACGGCCTTTTCTGATCACGTTCTTCGCTCAGGTTGTTCATTTGTCACCTGTAGCCTTCCGCAGTCACCGGCTGACGACCAGTTTCCACGAGTTCGTAATCAAGCACGCCCTTCATGTCCCACCAGATACACGGATCCCATATGCCTTCTCCAAGTGAATGTCGTGCCTATGGCTTTTTACGTCTGGGATTCTCGTAACAAAGAAATTTACATTTCACCTCGTCGCAAGTTTCCACAGTAAGCCCATTCACTGCTAGTTGACGGCGTGCAAGCAGTAAATGGCGTGTGTTTATACGCTGACCTAGGTTGTATGCGGTCAAAACATGTGAGGAGACCCAAATTCCAAGTTCCTGAATTTTTCCCATTTGTTGGTGAAAACGTTTGGAAACAGCTGTTTGGGTGACTTCTAACTGAGCTGCAAGCTCCCGCCGCGTTTGCGTTACGACTTCATTCAGTTGAGTTTGCAACTCCGCATCTTCAAACTTTCGAGGCTGCTGGCCGAGGCGCTGCTGGTCACCACGATCAAAATCACCACTTCTAAAACGCGTGTGGCAATAATAACACATTTCATTAGGCATAACGTCGGCACCAAGAACACCACAAATTGATCCCCGTGTTTTGGAAGCGTTTTTCCCTTATTTGAATTTGCATAAAATGCTGTGCCATCCAGTGTGCTGTTTGTCATTTGCCGTCGTAAGCTACTATTCTGATAAGATTGTGTAACTCTTGTGGCGTTTTCATTCGGTGGTCTGAAGGCTTGTGTTCGATGCTTTTAAAGCCACAAAAGACCGCGAAAGTATATATCTATTTTAAACATGATTTTAAACTCGAAGAATTAAGTCATGACGCTGCTTTTGGCCCAATCTTCACCGTTCAAATAGCCAGGACAGGTGTTCATGTGGGCTAAATAATGGTTTGTACCCGTGTGCATTCATTCTAATTCCGTTTACACTTTGTTTTAGGCTGGGGCTCGCTTGCAAAAGTCCTCCAAGCGGATCACGTTCCCCATCAATCTCGACCTTCGCCCCTATTGTTCTCGGTTGGCCCGAGTACGTGCTGTTTCTGCTTGCTTTCTAAAATTACTTGTTGCGGGCCCCAGCATGTGGTCTTGATCCACGCCGGGGCCACGGAATTAACCCTGGCCCATTTACTTTTCCCTGATACCCGTGATGAAGAAGAAGGTAGGAGAGGTCGTGGACACAACCGTTTACTTCAGAGCTCAACCACGTTGGTATCGTTGTGTCATGTGTGGGGTTTGCGCGTGTGTGTTTATACCTCGGATGTATGAGTCATAGATGTGCCAACATCGAGACCTGGGTGTGAGGATAATCCACGATAATCGATCGTGCGAATGAGGGGGAAGTTGAGGATCCGCGTGGCTGGCGACATGCTGCGAAAAGGGGACCCTGTGTTGGAGAATGGAGCGACCGGACTAAGGGGGGTAAATAAACAGGACTCACAATATACTCTTCATCTCTGCATTTATGCCTCGTCGAGGCCAACTCCTGTCTCCCCTCACCACCGCTGCTATTTTTGTGCTCACCTTGGCTGTTGCACGAGTTCCGCCGGTATCAATGCCTCTTCGGTGTTTACAGTTATCATCCGGCGAAGGCCAGTACCGCCTGTTCGGCGTGGTAGAGCATGCGGGTCACCTGCGTGGCGGACACTACGTGTGCTACGTGCCCGACGAGCCGCCGCAACGCCCCCTGCCCGACCTGCGCTTCGTTCCCACCCTGGAGAAGCCCGACCCCTGGCCCATGTACCTCCACCACCTCGTGTACCAGCTGCGTCGTGCCGACGACAGGGTGATTTACGGCTGCCCCGTGGACGACGACAACCCCGCAGCACCTTTGACGGATTCACGGCGTTGGCTCTGCTGCAACGACAGCCGCGTCGCCCGCGTGTCGCTCTCCACTGTGCTCAACGCCGAGCCTTACATCCTCTTCTACGAACGCGTTAGGTAGGGTGGGGCGGCTGTACACACTGTCTTTTTTATACACACTCCGTCATTTTACTCTAGGCTGTCAATAAATGTAATGTTTCGTGTCTAGTCTTTGCTAAGGTGTGGGTGGATCAACAGAGAAACAGTAGCTGGAGTTGTCAGCACGATGTTACTGTCCTGCGAAGGATTGCTACATTTGGGTGTTATGCTTAGGTATTTGGTCGGTAAGGTTTTCGGACAACACCACTGCCCGTTTTCAACAAATTCCTTTGGGCAGAAAGAGCTTTCGTAGTTCTCCCAGACTTGTGGTCATCTCTGAAACCTATGTTGTGGGTCCCAGCATGTGGTCTTGAACCACGCCGGGGCCACTGAGTTAGATCTGACCTGATTACGCTACCCTGATACCCACGATGAAGTAAAAGACCGAAGGGGACGTGGACACAACCGTTTACTTCAGAACTCAACCACGTTAGTGTCATGTGTGGGGTTTGCGCGTGCGTATTTATACCTCGGATGCGTGAGTCATAGATGCGCTAACATCGAGATCTAGGTGTGAGGATAATCCACGATAATCGGTCGTGCGAATGTGGAGGGAGTTGAGGATCCGCGTGGCTGGCGACATGCTGCGAAAAGGGGAACCCTGTGTCGGAGGATGGCGCGACCGGATTAGGGATTGCGACTAAACACGATTCACAGCACCTCTCTTGCAGTAAACAGGTACATTTTCGACAGCTTCTGTGCTTGGCTATTAAATTCTTACAGTTTAACAGTTAAGTATCCTCAAACAGCTTCAAAATACCGAGTTATTATGAAGGCGACTTCAACATTTAGGTGTAACGTAAAAAACTCTCGTAAAAGGAATTACAATGTAAAAACCTGTGCATTTTCCACTTCGTCAGATGAACGTTTGCCATTTTTCCCAGCAGTATCGATAATCCTTCGCACTAATAAGGAAGAAGTTGATGAAAGGGGATCTCGTGTCGGAGGTTGGCGTGATCAGATTAGCGAGTGCAAACGCTATTCACGACACCTACTTGCTCAATTCGAGGCACATTCGAACTGTCTTGAATGTTCGCTGGAAGCGGTCAAATCGTAGTCCACCACTCGTTGTAACTTGCAAATTTACTGGGAGTATTACCGGTAACCGTTCTGCACGGTTTGAAATGACTTCCACAACGTGAATTTAGCTCACTAGAGCCCTATTTCATGGACAACTTTGAGGTAAATCACCAACTACGTGTAAGTTGACTGGGTTACGCACGAATGCGTCTAAAACTGAATGTAGTCTCGCCTGGTTTTGGAAAATCACGACCGTCAAAATGCGTCTCAACTGCCTGCTCGCGATCCATGGAACCATTACCAGACTTTTTGTCTGTGCTAAGCTATAAATCTACATTATTTGGCACGCAAAACGCGAAAATCACACGACTTAAACGCTATCAGCTCAATCAAGCTTCACGTCGTGCCGCATCTAGACGTGTCTTTCGATTGACGCGATATCGTCAGCACACTTGGAACACCCTACTGCGATGATTTGAGTACCATCAATTGTGCCGGGCAGACGGACATATTGCCACTAAGATCCGATTATGATGTCCTTTATAGCAAGGAACTTGCGTGGATGTAACTTGCGTTAGAGTGTAAAACCAAACGATCAACACAGCTCTTAGCTCTACGCAGTCGCCAATGCATGCCAACAATGTGCCAGAGAAATATTTTGGTGGGGATCCAGCATCCCCCAAGACGGCTGATCGCGTGTTGGGATTTCGTCATTGTGTACACAGTTCCCCTAACCAAGCCACTCAAGTTGGTGAGTCATCCACGGCACCCTATCGACAGCCACATCTGTGTTAATCCGCTTCATCCGTCAGGTCAAGGTCATCCTTAACTTATACAAGTGGATGAATTCAGACAGATCATTCGGCCGTTGGCTGAGGCATTAAATGCTCCCTACACGAGGCCAGCGTAGGAAGGTGTGTGGAGTGGCGTCTGATAAGGGATCTGGGGTACCTGTTTTCTGAGTGAACGTCTGGTCTTGGTTATGGCCAAAGCGTAACACTTCTGCAGATAGTTAATTGTCTGTCACATCTGCCAGCATCATGTCCTGGGTTTATGTTTGTCCAGATGTTGGTATAGAATTTATGCTACGGTCACTTTGCCTCGGCTTAATTCTCTTGAGCCGTCACTATCTAGTTTGAATATTGATACTCTACATACTATCGTAGTTAATACAATGATTTTGTGAAGTCGTTGGTATCTCTAACTGCAATAGTTTATGGCTGACAGGTAAATGGCTTCTTATTTCTGGGTGAATTTATTGGTTAAGTAGTCAGTTTTTAAACACAAATAGGTGAATTACAACCCTCAGTAAGTTTTTCAATTCTTTACAGTGCCCCTTTAGGTCGTTTGTGCCCTGTTCCGTCATCGGTATGCACCTGTTTCAGGTGAAAAGTCCATTTTAGCCTGTGTTTCTGATAATCATTAATAAAATCCACGTCTGGCGTCTCCTACAGGCGATATTTGAATCAGTGTTCTCGTGATACCCAGTCGAAATGGTTCCCTACAAGCATTAATTTGTGAACGTCGCGATAATATATTATGCTACGCATTCTCAACGAAATTACGCAAGAGTTTGTTTTAATGAAACATAAGTCATAATTAACGGTTTGATTTTAAATATAGAAAATCACATTTTTATGGGGTTCTTGCCGTGGTGTGTGCAAGGAATCACTTCTGATGTGATTTCGTAAATTTACTTATGTATTAAATAAACGCTAGATTAGTCAAAAGTAACTTGGCCATCAGTTAGTAGTCATTCGTAAGTTAGCAAGCAGCTATCAAGGCGATTGAATGACGACTGTCGTTAGCCGAAGCGGTTAACGTGAGCAAATCCAACCGGTGTCAATCTTACTGACCTGTTCGTTTAAGATGTGTGATAATGTGTTTCTGCTTTCGAGGTAGCAACTGACAAAATCATTCATGGGTATGACAGGTATCAGTAACAAAAGCGATTTGATGGGATTTTCAATCCACCCACAACAACCAATCAACTTGAACTCGTGTGGTGACCTTGTCTAACATGGAAGAATTACAACCTGCCTGCATTTGCTGGACGTAAGAGACATCTTATTAGCAGAGTGCATCCGTCGTAGGCCAGCAAATAATTAACAATGTCTAACTCATGACAGTGCTTCACTGTAGCCACCATTAGTTCAGCATTGACTTCTTCCTCAATTGTCTAGCAGTGTGTCTTCTTGCTAACAGTGTGTAGCGTGTGCCTCTGTTACACCATTTCTGTCATCGTTGATGTCCTTTCAGGCGCAGACAATTCTAATGCAGCTGGCTGATTGAAATGCAGACTCACCAGCGCGATTTGATTGGCATCACATTTACCAGGCACCCAGGCAGTAAAAAGGCACTCATTGATTCCTTGATTGCACTTATTGTGAGATGGCTGCTGCTGCCTCTTCCACTGCTGATGCTGCTGCTTCTAATCACTGAAGCCCTCTTGGCGCTCAAATTGATGCAGTAATGATGATAATCGTGATGAGTAACTGGCGAAATGTTCTAAAAAAACACGCTCCAAACAAACAAGCTATTGTGACTGTCATTCATAGCACGTACTTCTAAGGAGTAATGTGCCTTATCCAAATACGAAACGGTTTCATTTCCGGAAGCAAACTTGACTGAAAAAAACCAATGCACCGTCGAAAGGTTTTTGCATTAGACAGGACAGCCAAATCTAGATGATTCAGTCAACGGGAAATTTACCGACCAAGCAGGCAGCGGGGTTATGCAACTGCAGACTAAGGACCCAATAATTAGTAACAAGAAAATGAATCAGGAAACATGTTGGGGACACATTCGTTTGGAAAATTGGCAAGCAAACAGAAAATTTGAGATTTTGTTTGACATCATGACAAGTGCCACATCGATCTTACAGGCCACTCTGTCAGCTCTCGTTGGTTGTCTACCGTCACCTCCAATCACATTTGTGCAAATATTCACAGCTTAAATGGGATATCGCGCGGAGTGAATGAGGACTCGTCTAGTTACACGTCTATTTTCAATGACCTCACTTTTAACGACAATTTAATCACTCCACTTCATGTTAATGAGAAATTAGTGGATGCAACATGTGGTGTTTCGAGAAAAAAGTTAAAATTTAACGTTCGTCATTCGTCCTTTACATTGTGACTAAATTCTTTGACAAAATGTGACCACCGACATTTCGGTGATCGCGTTGGGAAATTACTGTCTGCAATCCACCTCCTAATATGACGAACGTGGCGTTTCTGTGGGAAATGCCGCACTTCATCTCAATTCACACACACTCACGTCACAAACTAATGGCTCAACGAGTGTGTTTTCTTTAAATAAGACTAATTGCCACCATTCGTACCTGTACCATACAAAAATGCACCATACAAAATGCGTGGCACTTCGACCAGGTTAGTTTCCAATTGCAATCAAATTCTCTTCCTGCAAAGCATGCAATTGCGCTACTTGGGGTCACGTGTTTTGTGCCCTCAAAAACCGTTCTCTCAGCCAATTCCTTTCGTCTGCTTGCCCAGCATAAATTATTGATGAGTCAATGGGTCCGCAAAACAACTAACCACCTCAGCCCACTTGCCAAAGACTTGCCAAAGAGCCAGATTGTCTACGCGGAATTGCTGCTTAACACATCAGCCTTTGCATCCACATCAGCCTTTGCGGTGTTCTGTTAGGCAAGGTGCACGCGATACCAGCCCAGCGCGCTTTCCCTGCCCTCGTCGCTCGCAAACGAGTCCACTGCCTTGTGTCTTATTACTCCCTTGTCACAATGCCTTTGGTTCATGTAAATTTTTGCGATCAAAGCGGCATGGAGATTTCCGTGAATTTCAAATCCTGCAATTTGTGTTGTAGACCTAGGAAGAGTACCAAACCAACTGCAGAATGTCTGCATTGTGTTAGTGGATGGGCAATTAGGCGGGTAGTTAGGTGGGCAGACATCCCTTTGACACTGTACTTAATTCTACAGAA